GCCTGTTTACAGGGAGGGGGGACGTCTGTGCACAGGCAATGTGTTTCTCGAAAACCTGCCCACTTACGTATTTGAATTTTAGGTGATGCACTAACGGTATCCTATCTAAGGATCACACCGGCAACACAGCGCCAACAAGGGCAAAAATAATACCCTATTTAAGGGTGGAGACACCCGAAAACCATACCCTACCCAGCGGCCCATACATATCGAGCGTAAATATGAGAGTAAACCCCTCCTCCCCGGGGGTATATAGTACATAACAATTGACTAAGAGCACATCAATCGCAGACAGAATGCTCGGCTCATTGGTCTCAACCGCACCCTCCATGAAATGTTAAATATGACTCGGACTTTTCAATGGAATATCGTTTGATCGTAGTACGGTTACGTTGAGATTTCATGGTATAGGTCACGGCTAGCCTCTTAAGCAGGCAACTCCCTTATGTAACGATTACACTGACCGTGAGGAGTCTGAGAACGAGAAAAGGAGAAAAGACTGCCACTCTCAGATCTCTCCCCATTCCCCCACCAGTTCTCTAACAACAGGACAGTCGCACTGTGATGCTTGCGGAGGAAGCTACAATCAACGTCAAAAGTGTTGGGAAGGTTGCTTTTTTGCCTCTTTTTTCCTTCCTCCCCTCGCTCGTGGCCCAATGTTCAGCAAAACGTTAATATTTGTGCACGTAATTGTTCTGTTATACCCCAACATTGAATGGGGTAGACGGGAGATATTTACTTAGCAAAAGAGAAAACTCTCTACTACTGTTAAGTTGTACAACCTTCCCTATTACTTTTGTCTGTGATAGTAGATCAAGGCTAAAGAAAGCCGAATACGCCACTTGCACATCTCCCATAATGCACCTTATTTGCCCAGCAAAATTTTGCATAACCTTTGTTTTTTATTTCTCCTGGGTATTACAAACGTCCCAAGAGAAATTGATGACAATGCTTATGCAAAATGTTTGGGGGCAAAAAAGGCGCACTATGGCAGATGTGCAAGTGGCGTATATGGGCTTCCAACTACCGATTACCAACTACTGATTCCAGCCAAGTTCCGACTTCTAACTCTCAACTAGCCTAAGAATACAGCCTTTTTTCCACACTCCTCGCCGCTAGCAGCGAGGCGTGAGGAGCGAAGGCTGTATTCGTAGGCTAACTTCCAACTTCCACTTAAAAATTCTCGCTTCAAAATGGGCTTGGTTTTCGCTGTTGGAGTGCCGGGTGATTCTCCTGGAAATCATGCCAAATTTGAAGGCTAACTTCAAAGTGAAAACTTCAAGGGGCGGGAGATCACACGATCTCTACTCGTGTGAAATTTTAAGACGGAATCCACCAGAAAATTGAGTAATTTCAATTTTAAGTGGACAAAAACCTTGTACCAGAATAACTGAATCAATATCCCATTCTTTTTTACATTTTTCAAAGGTGTAAGATGTAATTATTCATCTGTAATAACACCAAAGAAAATTTCTTATGGGAGCCCGAGAAAATAATTGTCAAATTTCGCAAAATTTTACCTGTGAACTTTCACAATTCTTGTGAAAACACTCCCATGAGAAATTTTCTTTGGTGTTATTACAGATGACTAATTCAATACCGCATCACAATTTACCCATGGCCAAATACCAAAACCGCAGGTACAAATGGGAAAAAGTTGACGTTGCCAATACTACAAATCCTCTTTTCAAATAGAAATAATACTTTTATGTCAGTGTTTCAAAATCAAGGTGCGTCGATGTCAAGCATACGATTAACATAAGGTCATCGCACTCGGCGGGCACAGGTCAGGAGACTGGGAAGGGAGCTGCTTCGCCGCTCAGTCGTGCTCCCGACAAAACCACGCAAAACCGCCATGCACACACGAATACTAGTACATTCTATATTCTTGCATGCAGGACGAGAAGGACGAGTGGTAATTTTTAGACCACACCATCTTCATTGATTATCTTTTGACACTCGATCGACACTACGCAGTTTATAACGACCTCACTCACCTCACTACCTCACTCACCTCACTTAGTTGACCTGGATCGCTTGTCTTTGTTTCGCGAGTGGCAGGAAAGTGACGATAAGGTTGCTAAGGAGGTTACCCAAGCCGACTATTTCCACAAGGTCCATGAGGTCATACCGTACTTTGAAATAAAAATTACCGCAACACCGCACGAAAAATAGCCCAATACCGCAATACCGCAAACCCTTACGCTCCCCTCAACGAGGACATTACACTTTTTGTACCACTACATGAGAAATTTCTGCAATTTGATTGGCTTAGAGCACTGGTATTTCAGCTTAATTTGAAATACCTACATGTGAAAATTACAAACCTTTTGTGGGTAGTAGTATAAACAAATAATAGCATTATTTGTGCGTTATGTTTGGCATAAATGCCACTCGTGACATTTCAAAATTGTCTCAAGTATAACAACTTTGAAATACACTCGTGGTATTTAGGCCAAATATCACTACAAATCATGCTATTACCTATCCTTATACTACTACATGGTAAATTTCTTCAATTTGATTGGCTAAGAGCAGTGGTATTTCAGCTTAATTTGAAATACCTACATGTGAAAATTACAAAACCTTTGCGGGTAGTAGTTTAAACAAATAATACCACGATTTGTACATGATATTTGGCATAAATACCACTAATGATATTTCAAAATTGTCTCAAATTTCACTCTCCTAACGGCTCGTGAAATTACGTATAATACAATTTTGAAATATCACTCGTGGTATTTATGCCAAATATCACTACAAATCATGCCATTACCTATACAAATTGTATGACAAGTGGTATATCGCTTACAATTTCTCAGACTTTATTTAATTACCTTTTACAAATGGTATATTCTATACCAGATCAGTGCTATGCAGATTTTTTTACCTATTCTTAGTGTATTTTACTTTAACGAATAAAAAAGTAATTTAAGTTCCTTTAATTGAGCGTCTTTAAAGAATAACTTTTCAATTGACATACAGTATTATTCATTTACTTACATAGACATGAATAAAATATTACAAGATTTTACTTCTCAACGAAGTCTCGTGATAGGCACACTCATTTGTAAAACATTTCAATGTAAAAGTTCCGATCAATCATTTTTTTGTTTTCGTAGTGCAGTGAGTTCATAACCGGCTCCATTGCTATCTATCGTTACACAAAAAAAGAGAAAGATCAATAACTCCAATTCACGACGCACTTGCAATGCAATACGTTTCTGAGGTTTTTGGCCAAGGAGGGTGGAGCAAAGGAGTTTTCTTTGTTGGAAGGCTCAGAGGCCAGTGTTTAGAACTGAAAACGCTCCAAGAGAGCAATTTGTTTCGTTTTGTTTTGTTTTTTTCAAAACCTCTGCACCCTTCCTACCATACATGAGTAACAAAGTAAAAATCCGCGGCTAAGGGCCTGCATTTTCCCATAGTAGCCTAAACGGGTTCTAAAAGCCTCGTTTAAACGACAAGCGTTTCGGGCACGGCAACCCTAAAATTTGGCACGCATGCTTGAACGTTTTGGCACGGCACCCTTTTTACCATGTAAATGCAACTGTTTTAAGAACGGGTGACTTAAAATTTAGGGGTGCCGGGACCACGTGAATAGGTGAAGGTCCGGTATCCGTTCTTAGCGGTGCTGTGCTCTAATTTTCTATCCTCGCTGAGAATTGTGGATCAATTTCAAGATGGCGTCACGTTCGAACAACAAAGTAACGTGGTGGAGGCAACAGAGGCCCTGATAGACATTTACAACGTGACACGCATCCAGGCATCGTTAGAGAATTCGAAAACATCCAAAGAAAACTCCAAGATTTGTAAGACAGAACAGATAACAACATCTAGCACGGCTTGGACTAATAGCCAACTGGGTGAGAGACTTGCTCCCTCAACTATCTTTTCCTGAAAATTTATATTTCTTGTATATTTCTGATATGTTAGTTTTCACTAAAACCACTGGACGCCACAATCTGGTTGAGGTCATTGTTATCTAAGGTCTTCCATACTGTTGACTGCGTCGTGAGAGTCTACTCTTCGCCATCTTGAAACTGATTAACCGCATTAAGCCGCTGACAAATGCATCGATATGCTCGTAAAATTATAGGTGTCGTTTCTAATTTTAACAATGCCCATAAAAAATAGCGGTACCCTAAAATAGGGATAATTCTGTCGAGTAAAAGCCGAAAATTAACGCACTGGTGCAAAAAGAAAGAAGTGCCGTACCCAAAACTTCCGTCGTGTAAACCGGGCTTTCACCGCGGATAAATTAACAACAACAACAACAATAATAATAATAATAATAATAATAAGAGGAATAATAATAATAACAATAATAATAACATTTACTTCTATAGCGCCATTTCCATTGCTGTCCAATGGCGGTTTACAACAACGATTCATTTTTTATAAAAACTGATTTCAAAAATAATAATAATAATGCACTGTTAAAAAAAATTAGGATTAAGCTATGCATTATAATTTACAAATTGTTAAAATGAGTAAAAGTATAAATAAAATCAAACAAAAATCGAATAAAAAGAAAATGTAGGAAATATGATCCTAGAATGATTATAAATTAAAAGCCTTCTTAAAAAGCGGTGAGGGTAAAAGGCGAAATGAGTTTGCGGAATGGCATGTGGCATGGCTTGCGGAATGACATAATTATGCGGAATTTAATTTATGGAAAATGGCGCAAAGAAAAAAAATCAACAGGAAAGCATGCGCGCGTCTCTGCCGCGCATTTTTCGGCGCCAATTTGAGCGAGCAATCGATTTGCCGGTCCATTTGTTACTGCTTTTAAAGCAAGGCTAAAAGTGAAACACAGCTGATACACGAATACTTGATAAATCATCCGTAGCTCGTTTCCAAAATAAACTGAAACGGTTCTTTACTCACGTCGGCTTTTCAGTCTTTTCCAGTGAAGCGCAGTGAAAGTACGAAAACGTGTCAAGTTTAAACTGTCTTCTATTGAGTTTTTACTCTCCTCATTACATAGAAGAACGTCGTAACGGCGGACGAGGTAAAATAGAAACGAAGAGAGAGGACCCTGGGTTCGAAGCTGCTAGGAAATGGTAGACTTGGTGGTCCCAAATGAAATAAATAAAAGAAATAAACCTCGTAAATACGTGCAGACGTACTGTGTCGCAAATCTGTCTGGGTTTTTAGGGGTATGTAACCTGTGCTACTTGGCTAAACTCAAATCAAGGGTCACTCTTTATGGTAACGCTAGAGGGTAAAAAACGCTCGCTGAACGTGAAGTCGGGCTAGCCACAATTCTAAGTATTTTTAATACAGCAAACGAATCAGATCATATTCGAGACTAAATGAAAGCGTGCCTGAAACTTCACCACTCAGCCAAGAAAACAAAATACAAGATACGTTCGATCTCTGAATATTATTTCACGAACAATTAATCACGCGATCCACCGTCTGCAAAGAATCACTTCTCACACGGTTTCAAATGCAAATAAAGGTAAAAAAAGTGACGTTAATCGTGCAAATATGTTTTGAAGAAAAAAATTAAAGCAGAAGAGAGAATGACCTTCCGAAACATCTTTTCTTCAATGGCCGACTTTCGTGATGTAGCATCGGTACTGCCAGCAGCCCGACTAATAGAGGCAAGTAGAATCTTTGTGGCTGTGCAAAAAGCTAACCGACCGTGAGAAATCAAGGAGTCTTCCCTGGCTTTTTGATTTTCATCGTAGTAGAGCCCGCAACATTAAAGAAGCGGCTGCTTGTGAATTGAATGGCGCCACAAAAGGACGCAATTTTCAGTTTAATTTATATCTTTAAGTCATTCTGCATACATTACATTCCGCATAATTATGTCATTTCGCAAGCCATGCCACATGCCATTCCGCAAACTCATTCCGCCTTTTACCCTCACCGCTTAAAAAGATAAGATTTGACTAAACGTTTACATTGATTAAGACAACCGCAGCACCTTTCATTCTGGAGTAATTCGTTCCACAGAGCAGGGGCTGCGGATGAGAAAGCTCTGTAACCATACGTTTTTTAGATTATAGGACATACTGATCAGATGATTGGTATTAGAAGATCTAAGGCTCCTACTCGGTACGTACCGCTTAACTAATTCAGAGAGATAAGTTGGAGCAAGACTATTCAGCGCCTTATATAGACTGTTCACAGTCCACTATTTTTCCGTAAGATCATCGAGATCGAGCGCTTTGCGTTACGGGCTGCCATCTTGCATGAGTGTCAAAACTACTTAGGGGACGGGGGCGGTTTGGGAGGAAGCGAGAAAAATAGAAGGACATTATCCTCGCCCCCCCGCCCCCCTCCACCCACGCCTGCCCCAGAGCTATAATTCCGAACACCCGCCCCCTCGATACATTTGAAGAACAAGATAGCTGTGACGGTAAAACGCGGTATATCTAAACGATCTCACGAAAAAATAGGGGACTGTGAACAGTCTATGCCTTATAACTTATTAATAATATCTTTTAAAACACGTTGTTCAACTGTTAACCAGTGGAGCCCTTCTAAAATATGGGTCATGTGTTGTCTTTTGCCTGTTAACTTGACGGCCCTTGCTGCTGCATTCTGAACTGCCTTTTGAGAATTCCGAGGTATTTCATATAAAAGGGAATTGCAAAAGTCTAATATTGGTGTTACAAAAGCATGCTATTTAGGTTTTTTCATTTTCTGAAGAAATTAATTACATTGTAGCTGATAGTCAGCCTATTCCTTGCATAGAGAGGATCTACGTGGCACATTTTAGCCTAATAGGTTCTAAAAACTAAGTTTTAATTTGGGGTTTTTACTGCAACTCGTTTTGGAAACACAAATCTCACGATTTAACGATTATTGAATTCGGCTTTCGTATCATCTGAAGAATTATGGAGATCGAGGAGGGTGTTATCCGCAACAGGCCTCGGCGGATAACACCCTCCGAGATCTCCATAATTCTTCAGATGATACGAAAGCCGAATTCAATAATTGTTTTATTATTCATTCGCAATAATTCCTAATTAAAAAAAAACAAGCTAAAACATGGTTACCTCCATCGATAGTGCATGTTAATCAGCACGTTTAGGATAAAAAGGGTTGTTTAGCCCCGAAAATATTCTCCACTAGCAGATGTCGTCCGTCGAGTTGTCTTCTTGCTGTTCTTGCTATGTTTTTAGCCAATAGTTCGCCTATTTCCTGCTCGTGAAACGAGTGAAATGTTCGGTTATTTTTGTACTCACTACGAAAACAACTAAACCTCGTCCCCAGGTCTTCTTCTTCTGCACTATTGACGTCATCAGTTCAATATCGCAAAATTCTTCCAAATTTGGTAAACAGTGGCTGGTTATGATGAATTATGCGTGTGATTTTAGCCAATCAGAAATATTTTGAATGAATAATAAACCTCATTTTAGTGTCCAGTTGCTAAGAATGTTTTCTTAATAGTTAATTGCTTTCTTTTCTTTTTTGCCCCCTTAATATTCTGTTCAGAGTAATAAGTTTAACCATTCCACGAGTGAGAGCACAATAATTTAGCCGATTAAGCCACATTTCTCTGGATGAATTGAGCAGCTCGTCAACGATAACGACGACAGGCCGTTCCAAACCACCATACTCCCTCACGGTGCTAAGAACAATATTGTCATCATCATTTCTTTCAGCATTCACGGTTAAAGTAAACTCTTGCAACTGTTTAAGTTCATTGCCTTCTAGGGGTTCAGTTAAACACAAAACAGCGATATCACCTTTACTGTACCCTTCTTTCAACAGCGACTCAAGTACTCCAATCAAACAAGCAATTCGTTCTCCATTTGAATACTCTACCACACTTTGTTCTCCGTCGAAATCGTGGCCTATTGTCACTGATTTTTCCCTCCGAACGTCAATTCTTCGTTCTTGTTGTTCGAGTTGGAATTTATACCGTGGACCAAAAGACTCCGCAAGCTTCTTCATTCTCCTGTATCCAGCCGTTTCGGCTCGAGGCCAAGTTCGCCTATCAAGGTATTTTTCGGCGCGTTCGAAGATCCTTTTGGAGTTCCTTATCACTTTCGTCAAATGAAACTTCTGGCGAAAACGTTTTGGTATGCCTGTTTCTAACTTCTTTGAAATGCTTTGAGCTTTGTCCATGAAACACCACAGATAGCCTGGGCCATCATTTTGCCAAATGCTGTACTCTGGATCCAGTCCAGCGACAGAGTTTGTATCAGAGTTGTCCTGTTCAGTTTCGGATTCGCTGCAAGACTCCGACACTTTTTCATTGTCAGAGGCGTAGTCATCATCACTGGATTCACGTTCAAGACGTTGTTTGACGAGCGTTCTAGCTTTTCCAAGCCAATCTCCATCTTTAGCTTGAAAATTATGTACCTCGTCCAGGATTACGTGCCTGATTTGAGAAAACCTCTCCTCCATAAAGGCTTTTCGGGTACGGCACTCGCATATCTTAAGTTTCCTATAAATAGCGAGAAAGAACAGGCGCATTCTATTGAGAAAAATGTTATAATGTAGTTCCTTAAGGGCAACAAGACTTAGCTAGACTTGTCGCAGTCGAAGCATGCGGCTCAGTACTGTGCAACCCCGGCGGTAACTCGAAAATCTCGACCTCCCCCGTTAACTCGTACTAAATTCTGTTTCCCTTGATCAAAAGTTGCCCCAACAACTCGAGTTATCACAGTTCTTGCAACTCACCACGGATGACGTCCCGTTGATTTTTCTTGCGGTGCAATCCGCGGTAAAGACACTTAAACTTACACTACAGCACTTTGATGTTAATTAGTGCAACGAACGGACCACGTTTTTGACAGTCACATTCCTGCATCATCGTAAGTAAGTATAATCAGTGAATTAAAGAAGTAGATTCTGGTTTATTTTTCCATTTAGAAATAGAAGAAAAATCAATCAGTGAAAATAAAAGAAATTTACGGTAACACTGGGTTATCTAGCAGCAAAGAGCTGTAAATTCTTACATTAATTCTTCTTGCAATTTTACGGCCGCCATTTTGAATCAGCAGCCATGAATGGCACTTGTTTTCATGATCCAATAGGATTTATCACGCCCGAATTTGTACCTCTGTTAATGGATAAACACTTGCTCCTCAAGATTTTTGTATCATTACGTGGGATAAAACAAAAATTATACGCTAAAAGCTTTCAGGTAATTCAAATGTTTGCCGGCGAAACATGTCACGTTCACGTTAAAGTAGACCACGCGGGTCACGTCGTCAAAAATATGTTCTTTTTTGGTTTCACGTACAATACAATTCTCCGTCGTTTGTACATGCTAAAAGAGAGTTACTAGTATAATCCGAGTGACGGCACAGAACGTTCGATTGAGTTTAATCACCGAGTAGACTTGCTACATGTCGACCTCTTGGCGAGCGGAGCGCGCCTTGTTTGGCCGCGAAGCGGCCGACCGCGCAGTTGTAGTAGTTTCATTGTGGGGACTTAAGGTTCATGATTTATTAGGAATTAAACGCACGAGCCGACTGTGGAATAAATGAGATAAACGAAGAGTGCAGTAAATGGTTACTGTGGTCTACTCACAATACATATCGCGAAAGGGAAAGGACTGTAAACACCGAGGTCCGTAATAGCAACTATAAAGAAAGTTACCAAACTGCTTAAGAAACCGGCTCGAGATAAATTTCCATGTTAACTCAGACCTCATGTTAATTAACAGAAGGACAGTTGTCATCGAATTCCCTTACATCTCTGCAAGGGGATGCGAGGTGTAAAGAGGCTACGTGATCCAACCCTTCACCCTGGAATTTGAAAGAAACATACCTTATTTGGGGAAGCATTGCAGGTCTCTCACAAACGTACAGTATGTTTTCGGGTTTAAGGTTGGGGTCACGGCGGAGGAGCCTTCTAATAAACTCTACAGCCACCACGGTTTTTCCACTGCCAGCTGGACCCTGAATCCATAGCTCTCTGTGTTCGTCAATCTCTTTGTAAAGCAACTCAAACTGTTCCTTTGTCAGCAAGTTAAGAAATGTTAACCCCTGCTTGTTGGAAAGAAAAGAACGAAACTGCGCCAAAACTAATACTAGTGACTGGAGTATTTTGTTGATCTTCACTAACTCTTGGGCCGATGAACGTAGATGATACTCTTTAGGATATCGACTGTCTAGAGACGGTATCTCAAGTGGCTCAGTTCCTACTCTGTTGCAAGGTACCACCTGGTAAGTGATGTAAAACTTTTCATAGCAACCGCCATTCCTCACTAAGGATTTCTTCACAGCTTTGGCTGTAGCACGGACATGCGGGAGGAACTGATCTTGTGATCCACTGCTGACAAGGGAGATAAGGTGGAGCCGTCCAGGCGACTTACTTAAGAGGAGCAAGTCACATATAACCCCATCTTCTTTACCTTGCTCTTCTTTTTGGATAGCAGACATCATTGAGGGGGAAGCTACAAGAAGGCCGTTCGTGATTTGGTCTTGTATTTTTCGTATCACTATTTTTGCTTCTTTTGGGAGGTTTGAGACAAACCCTTTAGGTACCACTTCACATCCGGGCCCAACTAAATAAGAAATGACAAAGACACAATCAAACCTTGTTAACCACGATACAATCTTATGCAAAAATAATGTTAGCAGGAGGAGACCCTAAGAGGGTTTATTCTGGGTACCTGTAAAAAATGACACTTCTTAACTCACGATGACGCAGATCTATTTGTAGAATGAATTGAAAATGTAAAAAATGGCGGGAACATACCCTTCTTTTTCACTTCTTCTTTTTTACAGACTATAGCGGTTTTGTCAGGCGACCGAGCCCTATTCTCGCACGCACGCCCCTCCATCACCCCTTCCCAACAAAAGCTCCAGCTATGCAAGCTATATACGTTCAATAAACTCAAGTCAACAGGGACGGTTGGTTTCAAAACAAAACATAATATCGGAATTAGCTGCAGTGCAACACAAGTTGTTCAACTGTAATACGGGTGTATTATTTTTCTGCCATTTCCCTATGCAGTCACGAAACCTCTTACTAACAGGAAAAATAACATACGCACATGGGGGCCACAGCCCAAAATGATCTGACTCTCTAGACACTGATTACAAAACAGCGGACTATTTACTTAGTACCTGCGGTGATAAAGGAATTCTGTTCATCTTGACGAACTGCACATGGTTACTCAAGGAGAAGGTTTGAGTAATTCTTGGAATATTACCTCTTGTTTAGTACTCGGTACTTATCCCTTATATCGATTCATTACATTATCTATTTAGGGGGGTCGGGGGGTATGCTCCTCCGGAAAATTTTTTAAATGAATATGCGCTGAGATGCCATCTGATGCATTTTAAGACACAATTTTGAGAAATGTTACAGTGTGTGCACTGACCTCGTCGCGTTTGGATGATTTTTCCGATATAGTTAGTTATATACGGTAATGATAACAATATTTTTGGGCGGAAAGCTGGGCATTTTGGGGGGAAGCTTCTACCCCTCAAATACCCTGGATAGAACCCTGAGTATGATATTATCAAAACATGCTACAGCTTTCTTTACAGAAAATAAGGGCTTTTGTAACTGAAATTTACAGTACAATGTAAACGAAGGAGGTTGCATTATTTAACACAACGTGATGAATGATAGTCATACCAAACTACGCCCGTAGATAGTTTTAAACCTAAGTTAGTTAATTATTTTTAATGTTGCATTAGTTTTATTCAGATTTTATAGTATTGCATAATTTCGTTTTTGGAACAGTTGGTGTGATATATCGCGATTTTTACCGACTTAATTTAATAAAGTGTAGATGTAGATGTAACCTAAGCTTGCCTAGTTTCAGCTTTCGATGCACAATAATTTATTACATTGTATGGATGGGTGTTGACAATCAGAAAGCTGTGACTAATGTTTGATAATAAATAGAGAAAAAGGTTAAACTATGAGTTACATAGTTTCTGATCCAGCCTGCAAAACCCAAGAAACAACCTCAAGCAAGGAAACAGTCAAGAAGCTCCCTACGAAACAATTTGTATGCATCAAAAAGATTATACATAATTAAACAGTAAATGTCATTACTTGGGGAAGAGGTAAGGACGATCTACTAACAGTTTATTGAAAAATACCTGGAAAGAACGCTTTCACAATCTCTTCAACAGAACCTTGGACAGTCAGCAAAGGTCCTCTTAAACGTTCTACCAATCGAAATTTTTCCCTTGCTTCCCTGGTACCTTAGAATAAAAAGTTCATTTCAGTCAGTTTTCAAGCCCTTCACATAGCAGTTTTAAGTTAAGGTTGTGAAAACATTACAGTAAAACCCCACGACAAATAACCTTGATTTTTCCAAGTTAGCCGAAACAGGCTCTTATGTAAATGGCAGTTAGCACACGTTTAAGCTATTTAGGTTCTTAAATAGGTTCTTATTTTCTGAAGAAAAACAATATAGCTAAGAGCATTTAGTGGTTCAGCTTGTTCCTCATATAAAATCTGCATACCAAATTTGAAGATAGGTAAAAATGAAGGAAAAACTAAATCATTGAGCTCAAAGACCGAACTGGTGTTTAAATTGCAGTTGGAGTGATAAGGCACTCAGGTCTCCAAAGAGGATTCTGAATGCTGACTTATCTCAGTAATAACTGCCCAATTGTACAGAATTTTTTCATAGAATTTTTTACTACAGAGGGGGTTATAAAACTGGAATATTTTAGCCCAACAGGGTCTTAAAATCCAGGTTCCTAGTTGTGGGGTTTTACTGCAGTCCTGAAATTGACCACCCCACAACCTTGGAAAAGCAGTTTTACCCACCCATAGGGCACCCATTCTGCAAATTTGTTACCGCCATGACCCCTTGCCCCACCCCCACTATGATCAATGTTGTTCAGTCAGGGGCAGAAATGATTTAGATGAATGAAAAGTTTTATTTTGAAAATAGACATGTCAACGGCCATTTTTCTAGCTTTTTAAACATCTACCAATGTATCAACCAAATAATACATATATGCCAGAAATAAGATCAGATCAAGATCTTCAATCCAACTTCAAATACTCGAATAACAATTAGAGATGAAGGACTTTGCTAAAAATTCGGGTATAATGATTGATTCGGATCTTTTACGGAAGAATCAAATTGAGTTTATCCATCACATATTTGATTTACATTATATGGCTTCCTGTTTGAGGGACCAGAAACAAGTGCAGGACAAGCGATTTGACAATCATTTGACAGGTGTTAGAAAATGAAAGTTAAATTGGCTTACAGACACAATAGCACACATTATAAAGGCTTTCCATTGAAAGCAAAATTAAGATGCAAATGTACCATGTTGAAAAAGTTTAGTCAGTCAATTCGCTCGCTAATGTGACCCTAGAGTCTTTCAAAAACTGGACATTAGGGCCATTTATACGAGGAAAAATAAGACGCGTCTTACATAAGACGCGCCTTAAATAAGACGCGAACTGTACCATTTATACGAGCATGTCTTATCTAATAAGACGCGTCTTTGCTAAGCCGCGTCTTATTTCAGACGAAATGTCCCGTTTATGCGGAAAGTTCGCGTCTTATGTAAGACGCGTCTTATTTTTCCTTGTATAAATGGAACACTGCAAATAGCCAAGGAGCCTGTTAAGATGATCAGGTGCAGGTATGTTTGCTAGTATTTGTCGAAGGAATCACTTGTTTTCTCTTATCTTGAATCTCTCTCTGTCGATTTTCGTCTTCTTAACTGTTGACTGTGATTAAAAGTTTCAAGCACTGACTAGAATTCTCTTCTTCGATAAGATTCAGTTTCTTCATCGCCTTCATTAATATAATTTATCTCAGGTTAAAATGTTGAAGCAAGGAGTCAACATCCAAGTCCTCATGGTTGACAGACATCTTAAAACTTTGTTCAAACCTTTTTTTTGAGATTTTGGTCCACATAGCAAGCTAAGGACCGCAAATTGACCAATGGCATGGCGTAAACAGACAGTCATATAATAAGCTACTATGGCAAAATAATGACATCACTTTCAGTGCTTACTTCTGCTTGTAATAATTATTGTGTTTCTTTTCTTTTTGTAACAGTGTTATCACCTTTGATTAGCTTAGTAGCTATGTGCAAGGCAATTAATTTTGTATAATTTTGATTTTTCTTAAGAAATAATATGTTGATGTTGCTATTATAATCATACATGTATACTAATAGCATAGATTACTTTATCAAACTCATTAATAATTCATAAAGAAAATACAAAGGAAATCAATGTTTAATGAGTGTTTGGAAATCAGATGAAAACCTGCTCATTTTTGCATCCTTAAATCCTCAATCTAAAATCATTTTGTTTGGGAAGTAATAGCAAGCATTCGACACAATGTTTCACCAACAGATGAAACACCACAAAATTCGTCAAAAGTGATGAAAAATTGCGTCTCATGCTTGATATACTGAGTCAACAACAATGTCAGACTCAACATGTTGGTTTGAAGAACTCTGGATATTGTACTCAACAATTTCAAAAGATTATAAATGATTTGTTGCATGTTTGTCACTGTGGTTCTTTATCAAATAAAGATGCAAAATAATGTAACGCCAAGTTTAGTCACAACTTTCCTTGGCTGCAGGCTCACATAGAACTTTCATAATTCATAAAGAAAATACAAAGGAAATTAATGTTTAATGAGTGTTTGGAAATCAGATGAAAAACTGCTCATTTTTGCATCCTTAATTTCTCTTTCTGCAATCATTTTGTTTGTGAAGTAATATCAGGCATTCAACACAGTGTTTCATCACCACATGAAACATCTCAAAGGTTCGTCAAAAATACTCTGATGTGTGTCGTGTTTTCAACTCTCTTTTCAGTGTTTCATCTGGTGATGAGACATGCGTCTCATGCTTGATATATTACTTGACAATCACCAAGACATTAAGAAATAGCATGTCTAGGGTAAGCTAATCAGTGATGGCCCTCTGATAAATGACGCACTCACCTTTACTTTGACCTAGGCATGTGCTATGCAGCATTCTCTGCTTCCACTCATGGAAATCAAGGGGTACAATCTCTTCCTCTCCATCAGATCCTGAAGGATTCAGCAGCTCAAAGCTTTTTGGGCATTTTGTGAAAATGCCACCCAAGTTCCTCATGCCAGCAATACGAACCACTATCACAAAACTTGATTTGGTGCCATCAACAGGAGAGAACTCTATATCCCAGTGTTCACCCTGAATTGGGATAAAGCTCCATGTTTCGCTCATTTGGTTAATCATGGCTTGAAACCCACTCTCCCATTCTGCTTTGCCATCCGCTGTAATCTCTTGTCCAAGAGTTTCTCCTGTTTTATCCTCAATACCAATAAGAATCATCCCTCCACTTCCATTTCCGAAGGAGGAGATTTGTTCTGCGATTTTGTCTTGAGCCCTTTGGTTATTGGAGTGAAATAGTCCATTCTTTGATGTGAAATATTTCAGTTGCACTTGTTTTGATTCATGGAAATCTAGTACTTTCTTGTATGTGAATTGTTTGGGTAACAAATCAATAGGAAGGTCTGTTAAAGGAACCTTAGGGATATGGTTTTTAAGAGATTCTCTCCTGGATAATAAATCAACAACTTTTTCATAAGTCGGACGTGACAAAGATGCTGCATCAAAGGGCAAATGCATATTGTAATCCACAGTACATAAATGGTTTGTTGCTTTGATGAAAAGAAGAATTGTGTCTCCTTCAAGTTTTTTATCAAAGACATCATCATATGTTGATGGCTGGATCATTGGGTTCAGCTTTTGCTCTAATGTTTGCCAAAATGTTTCAATTTTCTTATTTAGGTCTCCAGCTTCAAAGTTAGAGAAGTCATCAATTTTCATCATGACAATGCCACCACCTGAATTGAGAACTGCATTAATTGGCCTCAAAACAGCTTCTGCATCTCCCTTTTCCAGTGTGATTGTGTAGTGTAGAACGTTCTCAACAAATTTCCTGGAAAAAAAAAGAAGAATTAAGTACATTTAAGCATTTACACCAAGCTTTCTAAATCTCAAGACAATTAATCATTCCAGATAAGATATCCCAATATCTTTTGACTGTCCAAGATTTTCCTGGTGCTGTAAACAAAATTAATTTCTGACCACGAAATTCCCCCTAAACCCAAGTCTCCTTAGTAATAAGAATGTTGATTCCCTAGGTTTGTATTGTGACCCAGATAGTCCCAGCCGCCAAGAAAAAGAGCTTCCACAGAAAATTACTAAGAGTGAAGATTGGCGATGTTTATGGTTGAAGTACATTAAAAATATCTTAACGGGAACTTCTTTTTTAGCCTTGACTAAAACTATAAATATTGTTTCCATCAAAGCAAGGTTTACCTGTTGTAGACATCACTGACAAAACGATATTCCTCAGAGATCTTAGGAGAGGGGACATCAACATCCATTGCATCTGTGCCTTCCACTTTCAGAGAGAGTCCGTGAGGGGTTCGTATTAACTCTGAAAAAAATTTTGGAAAATGCTCTGTGTTATAAAACCAGTCAAGGTCCTCTAATAAGGGCAACAAAAACGTGTTTTTTCCTTTGTTCCTTCGTGATAAGGTACCCAGAACCAGAAAAAAAAAAAGAAACCGAAATTGTGATATATATTCCTAAAGGGCTGGACCGAATTCACGGGCTGGGTTAATTTGTTAAAATCCAAGCATGTTAGTGACACAGACAAAAATATCTCTCGTGATTGCATGACAACTCAGCCATCTCGGTATTGTGATCCAGGGATCCTAGCTAACTGGGTTATCATGCTGGGTGAGCCAGCCCGGCAAACCAAACAAGCAACAGGAAAGCGGGTAACACAGTGCTTAGGCGCAGTGCTTTAAATCTGCATTCCTGTAGATGGTGGCTACGGGCTGGCTCGCTTCTACCCTGCGAGCGGAGGCTACATTTTCGCGTTATGAGCTGGCGTGCGAAAAGTAGCTACTTTTCGCACGCCAGCTCATACTGCGAAAATGTAGCCTCTGCTCGCAGGGTAGCTCGCTTCATACAGTATCGGGATAAATGTCTTACCCCGCCAACTCGGCAGGTCAGAATCTACTCAGATTGAAAAGAAGAATAATTATTCTGTTATTCTTATTGTTTTAGTACATGCATATCCACACGAAGTGACCTCAAATAAATCGGAAAAAAACTATTTAAAAACGCCGGTTTCATGATTCATACGAAAAATGAGAATGTAGTGCTAATTAGTACATGTGCAAAAGTTAGATCTACACAGAATCGAATTTTCAAATACGGTAAGTCATAGTTTCAATCCTTTCTCCACCTATAGCACAAATGGTTTGAAAGGAATCCTTAAAAGTTTAACTTCCCGATTTGCGCAGAAATGTAGGGGTGTATTTGCTTCTATCAACGCGCCTTTTCAATTAAAAAGCTTTCTTGCGCCGCTCCTCACATCCTTACCCTCAGGAACCCAAGGACACGTATTAGGGAGCACTACCATTTTAATATCACAAGCACGACAAAAGTTGTTGAACAAAAAGCATAAAAATCAAACAAGCAAAAATGAAAAGTTCATTTAAAAAGAGAAGGAACTCACCTTGGCCACTCTTGCTTTGACAAATGTCATGAGCAAACTCAGTTGGAAGCTGCGGTGAATCGGAAGAGGGTTCAGCTACGTCCACCTCACAAGATTCATCAACGGACAAAGATTCTTTTCCGTAAAATGTCGCGTCTTCTTCGTCAACTAACGCAGTTTTTGGATAAATAAAGCCATCATGAGCACGATGAAAACAAAAAATAACGCAATTTACTTTTAAACCAATAATTTATCGCGGTCTAAGCCTATGTGAGGTCTGTGAACTCCATAACTGATCCTTGCTTAAAAAAAGGATACTTTACAGAAGGTATTTTAACAGGGTAACCCTATTACCCGGGTAAACTTTACAAGCTTGACTAACGTGTATCGTCACGCGTAATCACGGAAGACTGAAATATGCATTCTTTGTAACGCCCAAGATTTGAATGAAATCTTGAAGATCGCTAAATTTCCCAAAAAATCGGCATCACATATTCTCAACGTAGGCAGGAATGTAGAGAGAAAAAAAATAAAAAAGTTGAGATGGGTAGAATCAGATTGATAGTTAATTGAATAGTAGGGAGGGAAATTTGCGTTTCAAAATCGATTGGGCTAGCCTTATAGTTGGAGGGAAATTTACCGTTTTTGCTAGTTGTTTTACTTTGTAAAGTTGAGGGCAATTTTCAAGTACGAGACCCCGGGGGGCTTATATTTGGAGGGGCGATTTAACGGAGGGTTTTTTGCGTTACGAGTTTGGCGGGCTTATATTTTGAGGGGCTTATTTTCGGAATTTTACAGTATTTTTAGAAAGAACCAACAAAAATTCTGTTCTTCACAGATACAAAATCTCAACGTGTAGAATAAAACAAATGGTCCACATTTTTTACGGTCAGTATGGAAAGAAACTGAAAGGGAGTTCCCGTTCAAATCAACTTTCGAATTTTTGTAAGCCATTTTAGTGTGCTCTTTTTACCAGAGTAGAACTGGACATCATTACCTTGGCACTGATTCCCACGGGGTCAAATAGGAAAAATATCGGCAAGAGAGGCAAGCCCAGCGGTGGCCTGGGGGAGGCGCCACCCTTTCCCTCTCCCCAGACTACCTCTCAGCTCGCTTCGCTCGCCGATTTTTTCCCTTTTTTTCCCAATGCGGAGCCTGGCCCCAGGCTAGTTAATTACACCTGTAATAACTTCGTTAATTTGACTCCTGGATCCACTGGTGGTTATCCTGAGGTTTGCTAAAAAAATAATAAGCGGACCCCGCTACGCAGGCTAAAATTATTTCATTTTAACACTTACTGACTACACGAGTTAAGAAATATCAGCCTCACCCTCAGTTCGTCCTGGATCAGAGTCGGAGGAGTTTTCGTTGTCGGCAAAATAACCATTTTGTGAGATATCACTTCCATCCACTTCTTTCTTTTTTGCCTCTTTACGCCCTTTAATAAACGTATCAATATTCAGTGAGGGCAATACCGTGGAAAACGTAACAAAAACATCAAGTTAAGAAATCGATACCAAAGTAAAAAGTGTCATAACAAGTTTACATAACACGGCCATAAAGGACACTTCAGGAGGGACATTAAAATCCGACCATGGCGACGGCTGTAGAAACATATCGCTTAAAAAGTGAAATCGCTTTCTTTCAATCTTCTTTGCGATCACCTACTTTGTTGGAGCGGAATTCCAGAGAACCATAGCCAAGTTAAGAAGGAGGAAGAAAATTTCGCCCTCCCTTGTTTACGTCGTCCACAAAAAATGAAATTGCATATTTCACCACGTAGTCGTGCAGTGAAGACAACGAAATGTACAAAAAAGTATGATGCCGGGGAGAATTGTTTTTTCTTTTGCTCATTAAGGCCCCGTCCACACGTATTCGGTGAAAACGGTCACCGAAAACGCATCTTTTCAAAGACGCCGGCTTCTCGTCTACGTGTGGACGGACGGAAGTAGAGGTTTTCGAGTATGATGATGTCATACATCATATACGACTAGTATTTCCACCGTTTTAGCGTTTTCATGTGGACGGGCAAAAACGATTCGAACACCCTACGTTTGGACGCGTATTTTTTTTGGACAAAGGAGGGAAAAAAAAATCCGTTTTAAAAAATATCTGGATACGCATGGACGCGGCCTGTTATTACAGGCGCATTGAACATATTAAGAATGACGACTCTTACGTCATACCTTTTTTAACATTCACGCGATGAGCACGAAAAGATTTAGAGAAGACTACAGCTATCATTCGGCAAAAATATAACAAAAATAATATGATATTCCTGGCGATAAACATATCTTATTCACAAAACTAATTACCAACCTACTAAACCTAAATTACCAATAAGTACCCCAAACTACAAGAACCTATTTTGCTAGACTTTAGAGTTAGGTTCCTATTTGACCGGTGTTTACTGTGTTTACAAAATTTGCTGAGCGAAAAGGATAAAAAAAGAAAAAGAGAATGAACTCACCTTGGTCACTTTTGCTTTGAATAATGTCATGTGCATCCTCAGTTGGAAGCTGCGGCGAATCGGTAGATGGCTCATCTACTTCTACCTCACAAGATTCATCAACCGATAAAGATTCTTTTCCGTAAGATGTCACATCTTCTTCGCCAACTAACGCAGTTTTTGGATAAAAAAGCCATGATAAGCACGTTGAAAACAAAAATGTTAACGCAATTTCCTTTTACACCACAGTCTCTTTATCTCAGTCTAAGCCTGAGTGAGGTCTGTGAACTCCAACTCCCACCCTTGTTTTTTTTTTTTACAAGGAAATCGTAACCCTTAGAATGAATTAAATGTATCTCACAATGATGGCGTTTATTTCATGTGTGTTTGTTTAATAAACTGACGTAATTACCTTTGTACAGATCTCGCTTGCAGACAATTTCAACTTCGGTTCTTGTCTCCTCTGAACCATCGTAGCTTCCTCCCGCCCCGTATCCAAGAGACACCTTTTCGGCAGTGCTATCGTAAGGATCTGGATGACCTACAAAAAGCGTGACGTACATTTAGTAATGATTTCTCTTTTTACTTTGGTGCTTCTAGTCTTGCACCATTGAGATCCTTAAAGAGACAATTAAAGCACAGTATCAACTAATGGTTTGTGAGCGTGGGAAATGAATTAAAGGTTATTCAAGCGAAAGTGGTTGAAGCAAAAATAAATGGAGTTCAAACTGGTGTTTTCTTCCGTGTTCCGTAATACAGCCTAACGAGTCTGTCGTTCCCGGTCACATTTCCAGACAATCTCCGTAGAGTAGAAGATTGAATTGGGGTCCGGACTACATTTCAGGGATAATTGCGCTGCAACGGGAAGGCAACTGGCACCAACAGACTAAATCATTTCCCCGCCCCGACCATGACAGCTTGTGGGGGCAGCAGAATATTACAATTGTGTATCAGCAATATTGCCGTTGAATGCACCATCATTTAACAGAAGGTTGAATAAAGTCATCTAGTGAGATTGTATCTTCCATCCCTTCAATAATGAACAAATTGTTTAATACACGCAAAAGTGTCCGCTAAAAAAAAAATAACTTGACTTTATTCTGATCCTCAGAATCAAAGTCGTTACTTCTAATCTGTAGATACCTAGACTGCGGACTGAACAATAAATTTCAGGCGATGGCAGGGGGAACGGGGTCTAAAAGAAAAGCACTCTTTGTGGGGGAGTTATGGATGTTTCCTGGAACCACACAATGACATGTTGTTACGACCAGCAATATCGTCATGCTAATAGATTGTATCTCCAGATTAATAAACAATTATCTTTAATTCTCACGGGGTCCTGGTCTGGCCCCGTTCCCTTTGGCTTCAAAAACCATGCTCAAAATGGTGGGCGTTCATGAAGTCCACACATTTGATAAGTTCTAAGGCTTTTTTTTTTCCTCTGGTGTCACGCCAGGAGCTCCCACAATGACTGGCACCCCTTTTTTTTAGCTACCGGAAAGCTTTGTTTCTTATTTCCCTTGCCTTGTGTTCCCTTGTTTCTCTCTCTCTCTGCTTTCAACGTTTCGAGTATCGCCAGGCACCGCAATGTCTACGACGCGCAATTTTTTTGTTTTTCTTTCCATGAAAAATTGCATCAGGCTTACGGTGATGTATGTCACGATTGGTTTCAGTACGGTAAACTCCCATAATATCAGTGCATTACTTCATTCTCAGTGACTCCTTCAGAGCTATGTTGGTACCAATTGCTTCTAATCGGGAGATCAAACACTTAACAAACTTTCCCAGAACGACCAGAGCCAAAGTGTAATCTCTTTGTGCCCTCCACATGCAAAAAGCCTCGCCGCAAGATCACCTCTTTTCCTCTGGCGATTTGGTCTGAAGGCCAGAGTCGCTTCCGCTTGTTTTTCCTTTTGAAACGGTCCTTCAGTCATTGATTACTTATGAAATCACTAGACATTGATTTATCATTGGGTAAGCCTATTAAAGTTCCCAGTACCCAGTACCAGGCTACAAATTTCACCAGCAAGGAGAGGGGTCTGTTCTCGCGAGTCAATACTTAAGAAGGAAGGTATCAGTTTCTAGTGGGATTCATTTCACCGTCGAACGGTACGGATTGAGCGGAAGGCGATAGTGCCCCACTATTGCAGCCATGTTTTATTTGGACCTTAGTTTACGAAACTCTTCGGGCCAATTTAATAAAACTTTTACAAGTGTATTTTCCATTGTTTACTACGCCTGTTAATTACACTTGTAATAATTTCGTTAATTTGACGCCGGGATCCACCCCTGCTTGACAAAAGGTTTGTTGAAAAAAATAATAATAACCGGCGCCTGCTACGCAAGTTAAAACTAATTCATTTTAACACTCATCGACAACTGGAGTTAAGAAATATCAGCCTCACCCTCAGTTCGTTCTGGACTAGTATCGGAGGAGTCTTCGTTGTCGGCAAAACAAACATTTTCTGAGATATCATTTCCCTCCACTTCCTTCTTTTTTGCCTCTTTACGCCCTTTAATAAACGTATAAATATTCAGTGAGGGCAATAGCGTGGAAAACATAACAAAAACATCAAGTTAAGAAATCGATACCAAAGTAAAAAGTCTCATAACAAGTTTACATAACAGGGCCATAAAGGACACTTCAGGAGGGACATTAAATTCCGATGATGGCGACAGCGGTGAAAACATATCGCTTAAAAAGTGAATTCGCCTTCGTTCAATCTTCATCGCGATTTTTCCTCTACTCACCTACTTTGTAAAATGTAGGCGAATTTTGTTGGAGCGGAATTCCAGAGAACCATAGCCAAGTTAAGAAGGAGGAAGAAAACTTCGCCGTCGTTTGTTTACATCCTCCACAAAAAGTGGCCTAAGCTCTATGATATTTTTTAGGCACGACCTCTCTACCTTCACAGGGAGGGAAAAGGGTCTTTGCTTTTAACGAATTCGAATGTCCACGCATTGTTTTAATTGAAAAAAAAAACATCTTTTTATTTTTTACATATAAAATTGAAAAAAAATTGTTATACCCTCGACCCTCGACAAAAAGATAGACTCGCAAGGAAGATACTTAACTACCATAAATAAAATGATATGATAAGACCTGAGTACAGCTTGTCAGTGCTTTTTCAGTGCCTGGGTCTTAGAATTTTATCTTCCCTCCCCTACACAGTTAGCAGGGCGTTAAGCACTATTGTTCGCCTCCCAACCCCGGCTTAGGTGCGAATTTCTCGAGGAACTGCCGCACGTGTTCGTTTCTTGTTACAGTTCTGTCTGAGCACGTGGTTTTGATAGAAATTCGGAAAGTTGTCGCTTTGAATCCACACGATCGATCTACAACAGTTGTCGTTTTGATGACAGGCGCTCTCGTTCGGGGCCGAGACTAATTACTAAGATGTGTCTACCATTAGTGAGTAGGCGAGAAACACGTTTGCACATCGCAGTGCCTACAAGAGCTCGTGCGTATCCACGAATTAAAATGCAGCATAAGCTTCCAAATCCTTGTCTGTGACTTATTAGAGGCTACAGTCTAGAAAAGGTTGGAAACTATGCATCGGAAACGTTTTATTCTCTTATCTGTTACTATTCGTTTGTTGTAAATTGCGCATTCGTACGGAGGTTGCATTTGTAAGTACACACGTTTCTGATTTTTCTAACGGTCTATTAAAATACTTTTGGGTGATCTTCTACTGTATGAGGTACCTAACCTGTTTTTTGTATTTTTTTTCTCTCGCATGTCACATGTATTTCAGTGTCATTTAGTTGTACGGCAATTTTGTTTAACGGTGCGTTTCGTTACTAAAACGCAAGGTCAGATCAAAAATCCGGATCATATGGGATTTTTCGTCAAGAAAAGAAAGGATGTATGCAAAAAAGGATTAGTTTCATTCGTTTTCAAACCGACCCACACCGGCGAAAGAATAATACAGCTGCTGACAATGTTGCAATATTGCTGATCTTTCATCGTATCTGGACCATTAGCTCAAGGATACTCCTTCAGACGGGACAGAAGATGTGAACCTTGGAATAAGATATGTCCTGGGGTCAATTTAATAAAACTTTTATAAGTGTAATTTACAAGTGTAGCGGTTGTTTTCGGACCCTAAAACAATGGCTACGCTTGTAAATTACACTTGTAAAAGTTTTATTAAATTGACTCCAGGAAAAGTAAAGTCTTGCAAGACGCTCCGGCGAAGTTGTGTAGCAGTTTTGCCCTTGTAAACAAGAGCAACTATATAGGTCCTGTTAGTATTGCAATTTACTACCCCGATAAAACGGATAAAATCGATCGTTTAATCCATGTACCGGGTTCAAAAATGGCCGTAAAGACAAGCAGTGGATTCGGATCTCTGGATTCGGATCATGTATCCAAAATATCCGGTTTTGGATACTGATCCAGACAATCCACCTCGGTTATGGTTCATTTGGATCAATAATCCGTTTTTGGATTTTAGAAATGCAACGAAATATCCGTTTACGGATTAAAAACTGCCAGATTTGGATTTTAGTAAAGAATCACACCCTTAGTTCTAGAACCGTGCATTTTGTACATTTTGTTTGGTACCGGCGTGTAACTCATTAGTAGTCAGGAAAATATTAAATTGCCATCTACAGATAAGCCAAACTGGAGCTTATAAATACCAAGGGCTGTTGCTGGTTTTAAAAATATTTACAGTGTATACATTTCATTTCTGCCATTCTCAGTTAAGCGGATATTTCTCCAAAAACTGTTCTTGGAAAACAAATCATCCGTTAAAGTTCATGGATTTCAAAAGATCAAGTTAAAATCTGCCGGCAGTAATATTCTAATATATAGATTTAGCCAGGGCTAAAAGCGAGGCTCCCATTAGTAAATTTATAATTTAAATTAAACAATAAACTTGTATTCGAATTCCACAATTCAGTTAACTTTAGAGCACGTTTATGTGACTTTTGAGGGAAAGGCTACCTGATTTTAGAGAAAAATAATTTGCAAACAGCCCAAGAGTGACCCAAATCTTACATCGAGTTGATAGCCTCATATGTACACTCAAAAACTGGTAATCATCTTTTATCACATTTAAGAGCCGTAATGGCTATTGATCACCGTAGATCAATTAGGCTTAGAAAAAAAACCAGGCCAACGTTTTGGCGTTCGACAAGTTTACTTTGCAAAATCTTGCCAACAAATCTGGGTGCGTGTAGACCAACCTTTTATACCATGGACAGAAAGCAGTACTTCACAATACAAATTGCTCTCATTCAATATTCATAAACTGTTAAAAAAATTTTCCAAAATCACCTATACGGCCATCCGGTTCTCACTTTTGTAGTGCGAGCTGTAGCGAGTGTTTGAATGAACATTAACAGAGTTACGCTCCAAGATAATAAAGAATTTATCATGTTTATTTTTTATTTGATGGTTTAACGCGCGGAATTTTGAGAACTCCTGCAAGCGATGTTCACTGAACGACTGAAAACAATCGGCATAGCGATTAAAATTGCAAGAGAGACTACTAACAATCAATAAAAGAAATATAATTCGGTGAAACATAAACAGAGACTACAATTTTCATTCAGGAAGACAAGTATTAAAGTGTCCCTAAATATCCTGAATCTTCAAGCTTCAAGCTTAAGTTTGCTGAAGTTTATGTTTTAAGCCAGCTTCCCGGTGTTTGTTTTTTCAAAGACGAACTCGAGGCAAGAAAATCGCTCAAAGCTTTCTTTTCCGGCTGGAATTATAACTAAAGATTCTTTGGAACATTTTCTTTCTATTTGCGGTGAGAAACTGTCTAAAGCTTTTTTTAAAGTTCTGTAAGATTATATCAAACCAGATACTCGGTGAGATCGTTGTCTCAAATCTTACAAACGTGCATAAACTAAATTCCCGCATAAACTACGCTCCACTTCATTAAATTAGATACAAAAAACAAACATGAAATACAATAATTTCTCTGGCTTACCATTCGAGATGCAGCTCCTGAAAGTTATCATGTAAAGCCAGTATCGCTTCAGGCTTTGCAATCCTCTTACGCATCAAGCAAGGTGAAAACGAAAACGATGCCATCCGAAATCGGATTTCCGACTTTGACAAGCGACGTTTTCTCAACCAAAAACCCAATAAACAAACTAGCCATGAGTAACAGAAGACTCCTGATAGCAGCTGAATTTCATTTTGTACATCCAGTGGAAAAAGACAGTTAAAAACATCACAAGTTGACACAAAACTCTGTCAGCTTCAGCTGTTAAAGTAAACAAGATTCAAGATGCTGCATAAATTTTGCGCATGAACTCACCTGTCAAATTTTGACCAATCAGAGCATAAAAATTGGACGTAGAGCGTGACCAACGCGTGACCATTGTGAGAAAAAACAAAAGCAACTGTCTTCCCTGCCTGTAACAGCTGGCTGAATTTTCACGTCCGAGGTCAGTTTGCAATCAAAATTTTAATTGTGCAGCACATAAACACAACATATTTCATATGAATTAAGAAAAAAAATTGAACTTGAGCCTGCGATCACTTGAAAACTAGTTTACTTGTCAGCGGATAACTTCAAAAAATACTTGACCTCGACGGGTCGACACCTGAGCCCGCGATACGGTCAAGTGATACTGGTCAGCGGGTACTCTGTTTTGACAGCTGTCAATTGATCAAAACATTGATGTCCAATATGTGTGCATTATCAGTTTTCCTGTGCTCCTAAACTAGTAAAAGTATGAGATTGAACGTTGTTCCTGATCTAGTAAAACAGTTAACTGGTCAGCGGACAGCTTTCAAATAAATCACGTCACCTCGATGAGTTGACGCATGAGCCCGCGATATGGTCATGGGATACTGGTCAGTGGCTATCCTGTTTGGACAGCTGTTAATTGACCATATTGTTAATGTCCTATATTAAAGATGTGGACTTGCCAAGACACGCCTGAGACACCCCTCCCTTCCTTTTGATAGTCTCCCCTACCCCACCCATACAATCTGTAGACGCGTACGTACGTACGCTCGGTCAATCACGTGACAACCAAACGAAAAGAGGTTGACCATATTCCATGGGTATGGGGCTCTGTCCCACGCGCGCTTCGCGCGCGCGGGAGCCCCGCTATAAATTCCTCTGCTTCACGCGCGGCACAACAAAGAGGGTAAGAAGCTACGACGCCTCAAACAACCAAAGTACTCTTATCACTTACTTGATCGTGCTTCTTTGTCTTCAATGGCTTTTAAAAGTTCTCGCCAATTCACATCTTTAGATTGTCTTTGACTTGTATTGCTCTCCTCGCAAAATCTGCATAAAAAATACCTGAGCTAAAGTTAAACTGAACTGCAATGACTGGTCGGTCAGTTATCTTCTATCAACAATGCTTCTCCAAGTGCGAAGCGATATTTTGCAGTAACTAAGAGTAATTAAGGAGCATGACAGGATATAAGGCTTTCACGAACTCAAACCTCAGCCGTTTCTGAACACGAACAGACCGGGCAATATCCGCTTTGGGACGACGTTACGTTTATTGACCCAAACCCTCACTGGAGAATTCTCGTAGAGCAAAAGAGGCTATTCACATAAGACTTTAAAAACATCAACAGGGACAGTGGAATTGACATTCCTGAAGTGTGCTCTCGATCACACAACAAAACAGCCGATCGGTAGCACAGCGGACCGCTGAGGGAAAAGCTTCGTTCGCTAACGATGCCAACAACGCTTCGGATCCAAACCCACCAAACATGAGTGAGGCTCATGATACATCAGTGACCAACAACACCAGTGGTTCTAACGCCCCGTTTATATGGAGAAACGTTGTCCCGGGCGAGCCAACGTTTCATACATGTTTTCTAAAACACGTAGCGAACCGTTTACATGAAAAAGAAAAGAGTGGCTTGGCTAGAAAGGTGACCTGCGAAGCCGGGTCACCCTCCAAGCCGTGGCAATGTTTCGCCATATAAACACTGGCTTTGGCTCATCCAGCCTGGTCAACTCAGTCAAGTGAGACCATGAGAGTATGCGCCACACTGATGGCTCCAGCATAGGGGTCAACTTTTTCTGAAAAAAGGCTCGCAAAAGTTGACTCCCCCGGGACGGGAGAGTAAATTGTGTAACTTGGGAAGGCAGATTTCAACAGCGGCTCGAATATTGAAAGCTAAGATATACTCCATCCCCTTTTGGTTGACGCAAAATCGAAGCCAGCCTCCTGGTTTAAAAAGGAAAGGATGGGATCTCGCATTGGTGAGAATTAGGTTGCTGAATTTGTTTAGAATGGGTAGCCAAAGTTGAATAGGTCTCATTACCCCAATTGGCCTTCTTAATTGGATGACTGCAGGTTAGGAGGCAGTCGCCTTTGCTAAATTTCTGATCGGAGAGTTTGTGCATTACAAGCACAGCTTACTCCTGCCACCTCCAATTGTAACTGAGAGGGGTGCCAGTAGCAGCATCTGCTACTTCCTTCAAATGCGGGCGTAATTGTTTTCGATATACTGGATATGAAATTATTTACTGATAAAACGGCAGGAGTAATTTTGTAGTGAAAACAACAAGTAAATACTGGTTATTGGAGGAAAACTATGAATTGTTATCCAACAACGGCAGAGACTTTTTGTACCGCTTTTTGTACATTATTATCTTGACAACTATTGAATGGTCTGTAGCAGCAATAGAAATTGCATGTAGCATTGTCATTAAGGATGTGCATCATGACAATTATAAAAATGAACATCAATCATGAACATTGAATAGGGGGCCTTCAGTAGCACTGAATCTTCAAGAAAGCCCCAAATCGTAAATAATGTAAGTGTATATTATTTTTTTGGTGTACATGCAAGGAACATATGCCCTTGCAAGAGTGAATACGTATGAAATGCCCACAGACAAGTGATGTTAGGTGATCAGTTTCTCAGTTCTCAAAATGCATAAGCTTGATCAGACATGGTCCCAGCACCATAGTGAAACAAGTTAGAGTTAAAAACGCTTTTTTCCTGACCTGTAGCTGCCATGTCGCACACTAATATTCTGAGATCTAAAATGCAGACGTTCTGTTTCTATAACAGAAGGCAAGCCTTGATATTGCCCCTGATATTCCAGGCTTCTGTTCCTCTGTTCCTGCGGACAGCACTGTCTTCGCTGGGTTAAACGATGTTCTCGCTGTTCTGCAGTTTCTAGCTGTCACCTTCTCATTCACTGATCGTGCTGAATTTCAAGTCCCTTTTCCCGCTGTTGCGTAGTTTCGCTGGTAAATCTTCAACGGCCAGGATTTCCAGTCACTGGTTGAATCCATTGTTGTCATGTTTGCTGTTCTGTTTGATTTGCCTGAGTAATTGGTCTTGATTAACGATAGTAAACATTGTTGTGCGGATGATCAATACACGTCACCCTTCATGAATTAAACACGACAGTGTACCCTCAAATGTCACTCACAACCATTTTTATCGGTCGCAAAACGATTGTCTAGCACCGAAAATGCACGTTGACGTCGTCAGTCTGGATGACGTCAAGGCAGACACCAACCACACTGATAGAAATATAGCAAACAGCCCATCACACTTCCCCTGGCGATCTTCGTGGGAATCACCCACGAGGTCGACAACCAGTTGCCTGGGAACCCAAAAAAGTCAAAGCAGACACCAACCAAAGCGATAGAAATATAGCAAAGAGCCCTACACTCTTCGCTTAACGATACTTGTGGCAATCACCCGCAAGGTCGCAAACCAGTTGCTGGGAACCAAAATGCACCTTGGCGGTCACTCTTGATGACGTCAAGGCAGACACCAACCAAAGCGATAAAAATATGGCAAACCAGTTGCCTGGAAACCCAAAGTGCACCTAGACTCCATCACTCTTGATGTCGTCAAGGCAGACACCAACCAATGTGATAACAATATCGCAAAGAGACCATCACACTTAGCTTAGCGATCCCCGTGGGAATCATCCGCAAGGTCCCAAACCAGTTGCCTGGGAACCCAAAATGCACCTTGACGCCATCACTATTGATGTCGTCAGTGAAGACACCAACCAAAGCGATAAAAATATCGCAAAGCGGCAATCACACTTTACTTAGCGATCCTAATGGGAATCACCCGCAAGGTCGCAAACCAGTTGCCTCGAAACCCAAAATGCACCTTGACTCCATCACTATTGATGTCGTCAGCGCAGACACCAACCAAAGCGATAAAAATATCGCAAAGAGACAATCACACTTTACTTAGCGATCCTAATGGGAATATCCCGCAAGGTCGCAAACCAGTTAGTTGCCTAGGAACCCAAAATGCACCTTGACTCCATCACTATTGATGTCGTCAGCGCAGACACCAACCAAAGCGATAAAAATATCGCAAAGAGACAATCACACTTTACTTAGCGATCCTAATGGGAATAACCCGCAAGGTCGCAAACCAGTTAGTTGCCTAGGAACTCAAAATGCACCTTGACTCCATCACTATTGATGTCGTCATCGCAGACACCAACCAAAGTGATAAAAATATCGCAAAGAGACAATCACACTTTACTTAGCGATCCTAATGGGAATATCCCGCAAGGTCGCAAACCAGTTAGTTGCCTAGGAACTCAAAATGCACCTTGACTCCATCACTATTGATGTCGTCATCGCAGACACCAACCAAAGTGATAAAAATATCGCAAAGAGACAATCACACTTTACTTAGCGATCCTAATGGGAATATCCCGCAAGGTCGCAAACCAGTTAGTTGCCTAGGAACTCAAAATGCACCTTGACTCCATCACTATTGATGTCGTCATCGCAGACACCAACCAAAGTGATAAAAATATCGCAAAGAGACAATCACACTTTACTTAGCGATCCTAATGGGAATATCCCGCAAGGTCGCAAACCAGTTAGTTGCCTAGGAACTCAAAATGCACCTTGACTCCATCACTATTGATGTCGTCAGCGCAGACACCAACCAAAGCGATAAAAATATCGCAAAGAGACAATCACACTTTACTTAGCGATCCTAATGGGAATATCCAGCAAGGTCGCAAACCAGTTAGTTGCCTAGGAACCCAAAATGCACCTTGACGCCATGACTCTTGACGTCGTCAAGGCAGACACCAACCAAAGCGATAAAAATATCGCAAAGAGACAATCACACTTTACTTAGCGATCCTAATGGGAATAACCCGCAAGGTCGCAAACCAGTTAGTTGCCTAGGAACCCAAAATGCACCTTGACTCCATCACTATTGATGTCGTCAGCGCAGACACCAACCAAAGCGATAAAAATATCGCAAAGAGACAATCACACTTTACTTAGCGATCCTAATGGGAATATCCCGAAAGGTCGCAAACCAGTTAGTTGCCTAGGAACCCAAAATGCACCTTGACGCCATCACCCTTGACGTCGTCAAGGCAGACACAAACTAAAGCGATAAAAATATCACAAAGAGCCCATCACTCTTCACTTAAATACAGTAAAAACCCACGAGTAAGAACCTACATTTTCTGGAGTTAGCCTAAAGAGGTTCTTATTTAAATGGTAGTTAACACAATTTTGGGCTATTTAGGTTCTTAAATAGGTTCTTATTTCTGTAAAAAAAAGCTACAAAAAAAGATGGTAATCAGTCTATTTTTCAATCATCCCCACCCCCCCTCCATCACCAGCACCACCACCCTCAAGAACAGTAACATATACATTTACATATTTTGCCTATCTGCCTAGCCTCAACTGTAACAAAAACTTTGAGGTTGGCACAGAAACTGCTTCTAGGATCAAAAGAGGGATCCTTTTTATTGTTGGCTTACCACTGTACCTCAGACTGCACAATATGCTGATTTATTGCAGTGTTTTATTGATGTACAGTATTTCAAAAGGCTATAGTACAATGCTAACCTCTTGCACTTTATTTTTTTTATTATATCAATAAATTACCACTTTCATTTGCACAGCAATGCCAAGCTCCTATTTCTCCAAACAGGATTCTTGCACAGCTTTGCAGCTGCATTTCACTAACATGATTTTAAAAAAGAAGAACCTGTTTTTCATTTTCTAGGCTAAACAGGTTCTTGTTTATAGGGGGTATAAATGGCAAATTTTAGGCTAACGGGTTCTTACTCGCGGTTTTTTGCTGTATCCTTGTGGGAGGCAGGGGCGATGGTTAAATTTTTTGTTTCTAAGATGTGCTAACCTGGATAATGAGTTTGAATCAAAGAAAAATAAAATGTAAACCAAGGGCATAATTAAACCAAATTAATTATCAGGTGCTTTCCGTTCAGTAACATGTACAACGTTACTACTCTAAGACAACAATCGAGCATCAGTTTACTGGCAGAAAAAAAAAACCTTTCAAAACTCTGGCCAAAACTGCCCTGGGAAGCAAAAAGATATATACTCGAATTTCGTAACTGTTTGAGAAAAAACTCAACAACAACATCAGGGCTCGTAGTTAACATCAAATTACCTTAATTTCTCCAAAATATATATACACCATGATAACCAGTTCCTACTCGACCTGATAGCTCAATAGACCTTATTAACGATACCCACCATCTTTGCACGCACTTTTGTATTGATGGAATGAAAACAATGTCACAAGGTATTTCAGGCGGCAAACAAATGATAAAATTTGCCAATACGTGTAATCGGGTGGAGTTTGTTTATTCTCTCAAAACGAGACGACGATTTTAGTCATGCAAACGAAATGTACAGAGACTTGACCGAGATTTGTTGTATCAAGAGCTTTTACACTTGAACCACGTGACATTTCTTCATACGTCAGCACGTTTGTACGATGTTAGCCTTCGCACGCTTCGTCGTAAGTCAGTTTGTTTTTTCGAGGTTAGTCTTGTACGTTTCCTTGCGCAAGCAAGTTTGTCAGTTAAGATATTGGGCTCGTCTTCTTTTACAGTTTCCCAGTGCGTCAGTTTCGAACTAATATTAGTACCCTCACTCTTATGTTTACCTTTGTGTCAGTTAATTTGTATGATGTTAGATTGGAGTCTTTGTAAGTTTCTTGCCTCATCAGTCAGTTCGATTTGTATGGTTTTAGTGTACTCTTTATTTTAATTTCTTCGTACTGGCGTTCGGAGAGAGTTATAGTTTAATCTTTTGGCCATGTTAGTCTAGTTTATCTCCAGTCAAGACATTGCTATTTTTGCTTTCTCTACAATTCCCTTCAGTTATAATTAATTAGTTGGTACGGCTCTTGTGTCGATTGACAACACAGGGCAATAGGCCATTTCCGAGTTCCAAAAATTCTCACTATCAAAATGAGGCTATATGCCAACTTTTTTGTGTGACAATAGGTTTTATTTGCATGAAAATAAGAAATTACTTTCATATCAACATAGCTTTGCAATTAGCCTTGCTTTGAAACAGAGGCTTGGGACAACTCGGAAATGGCCTATTCTTTGTTCTACGGCCGGTAAAAGCGCTTCTGTTATTGGGGTCATCGCCCATTGGCGACCAGTTCTAAAAATGTAGTCACAATAGCTCAATGTTTAGTTCCACTGGCGACCAGCGAGTCGCAATTTCGAACCCTGTTTAAATACAAGAAAAACTGAAGTTGCGTCTCAGTAAATCTGCGCTGAACTTCTTCAAACTTCATAGCGATTTTAAGATCCAACGACGCGACGCCAACGAGAACGTCCAAAAAACAATAGGTTTAAAAAGCAAAACAACAACTTGTATCATGCACGTGCATCATACTTTTTTTTGGACATTTCAGTTTTGCACGACTACGACGTGAAAATGCCTAATTCTATGGAGAAGGCAAACAAGCAACGATGAAATTATATTTCTCTTTCTGAACTTGGATATGCTTCATTGGGATTCAACTTCGGCAGGGTTCGCCTACATTTGACAAAGCAGGTGGGTAGGAATAATCACGATAAAGACTGAAAGAACGCAAATTCACTTTTTACGCGACGTTCTCGTCGCCGTCGCGTCGTTGGATCCTTAGCCTGTTTCAGGTGAAAGGCAGGCTCCGCTGCCTCTGCTCTCCCCAGTTTCCTCCCGTTTTATTTTCGTGTTCGCGCTTTCTTAATTCAACGGACCCGACGATCTCGGAGCCTGGAAGAGGCTATAGGATCCTGAAGTACTTAATATAACTGTGTTCAGTTTTTAGTTAATGCCTGAGTAAACGCTCTCTACAGACCCTAAAGTAATAAAATAATTTACGTACCGTTTACATTGGGAAATAAGGTATGCTGCTATACTGTCATGCCCATTGGCAGCAGCAATGTCCTCGGGGAAAAGGGACTCAGTTTTGTACGTTTCATAAACTACACGTCCGTTTGAAGTGCCAAAGATAATTCGTATGAAGTGCTCTGCACCGACCCGCGCTGCTGTGAAAACCAAGCGTCTCAATATGTTTACTGAACTTCCTACTCCCTGCTTGGAAAATCCTAAAGACAGGCGGAGTAAGCAGTTTTAACTTTCAAACTTTTCTAGGTTCTCTTTACAGGTGGAAAGTTTCTAAAAGAAACATTTCTACGTGCGTTTTAAGGGCTCAAAGGGGTTTTCACTGTTTATGTTCTTACGCAGGATTTAATGCAAAACAAAAGTTCGCTTATATCTTGAGAATTAGCAGATAAGACATTTAATGATACCCACCGAAAAAAGAAGTTGCACTGTTTTCTCCCCTTTCTGGATTTGCCTGTTGCTCTCCATTAAATTCATCCTGAGCTAGGTATCTGGCTACGACAATAAATGCTGCGTCCACCTCATTTGAGTAGTAGGTGTAACTTGTTTTTCCTACTTCAGTCTGGTCTGGTGTTCTAATGGTAACGTCTACCGTGACAGTTTCTGAAGTGTTACTGGCTAGCAAAGTAGAACAAATGCAAAACTTTACTCACAATTCCAGAACCGAAAATGGACAGGAAAGGTTGCTTAGATAAGGTTAAATAAACCGGAATCAAGTTACACGGCTCAAGATGGGGTTTAACAAAGTGGTGAGTTATGGTGGAGAGTTAAGTTACAATGAGTTGAAAAATCTTCAGTTTCCAAGATTCTTGCCGCAAAATTTTGAATTTCAAGATTCTTCCGCCAAAATCTTGAAACCGGCAAAATTTGGAATTTCAAGATTTTGCCGGAACAATCTGGAAAATTAAAAACGTGACACGCATCGTCACGAAAGTTGAGCAGCTTGTTCGCAGGAGTATAGAGCCTCTGGAGGTTTTCAGTTTTCTTCGGTATTTTTTGATGGATAATGTTGCAATAGTCTAGTAGCGAACTCACAAGACAATTAGAGATCAGAGAGAGGTGGCGGAAACACTCAGTGAATTTTTTTAGTAACATCAGCGGTACGGAACAAACTAATGTGATTAAAAATACCGATCTCATGAGCAACTTCACACACATTCCTAGTGATATAAGAAGTGGGTGTATATCACTGAGCTACACTGATTCCACAGAAGACTGAGAAGTTATAGAGAAGTCATGAGCAAAAAGAAAATTAATAAGGCTGTTGGACACGATCTCATCCCAGCACGCGCCCTGAGTCAGCTGAAATCTTATGCAGTCCTTTTGGCACATTATTTAATTCCATTCTCGAGACAGGCAAGATTCCTCAAATGAGGAAAAAAGGTGAAATACCCCTGTTCACAAAAAGGAGTCTTTCCTGACAAAAGGAAACTTCGGGCCTCTGACAATACTTCCCCCGAGATCTAAAGTTTTCGAGACACTCGTTTACAGTCTAGTTAGCCCTCGATTTGACAAGATCTTTCACTAGAATGTTTTTGCCTACCGTAGGCATCATGGCTGCGACACGGCACTACTGAGTCTAACGGAACAGTGGCGAAAGGAACTGGAGAAATAGACGGCCTTGTTTCCATGGGCATATTGAAAGCTTTCGACTCTCTACCTCATGAGCTCATCGTTCGTAAATTTAGAGAATATGGTTCTCACGAGAAAACCGCAACTATTATCGAAAACTACTTTTCTGACCGTCAACAAAGAGTAAAAGTAGGGGGCCAATATTCCAGCTGGAGTGACGTCACGAGAGGAATAGCTCAGGGCTCAATCCTCGGCCCTCTAAAATTTAATATTTTTATATATGATCTATTTTATATTGTAAAACAGTGCAGGAATCTTTCCAGCTAAGCTAACGACACACAAATTTTCTATGCCCACAGCGAGTTTACCGAGGTGGAAACGGCAATCAACTCAGATCTTGCGTTGGTAGACAAATGTTACGATCTGAACGGTCTCAAAAAAAGCAATTCAAAATACAAAGCGCCTGTCCTGGGTAGAACACAAAACAAACCGACTTTAAGGCGTGAAAGTACCATTATTAACATAACTTCCCATTTGGAGATGCTTGGCGTCAACATTGACGACCAGTTAAAGTTTGACAATCACGTGTCTGAGGTGTCCAAAAAAGTGTCACAACAGATAGCGGTACTCAGGCGCATGAAAAGAATGTTACCTTTGGAAATTAGACATGATTTGTATTTATCTTTCATTGCTCTGCATTTTAACTATTGTTCTGAAACGTGGCACTTTTGCAGCAAAGGCACCACTGACAAGTGAGAGAAAATAAACGAGCGAGCCAACAGATTTGTACCTAGAGACAAGCACACTAAATATGAAAAACTATTAAGGCAACTAGGCCTCTCGACACTTCAAAACCAATGACTCACTAAATTAGTAACATCTGTATTTAAAGTCATGCACAGCAACAACGCGCCATTATGTATTAAGGAATAAGCCACTTGCACTAAGAGGTCACGTGACCAATGCTTCCTTTAAACAATAAGTTAGAATCTTGGTGATGCCAAAAATTGAAGGAGCGCATAAAAAGTATTTCGCACTCGAAATTTGAGAGGAAACGCATTAAAGAGATATTTTATGGCACTTTGATTTTTGAACAAAGTAGTATTATTTCTATTGGCCACTATAGTGGAGGGCATACTAGCTCTTGCCCTCCAACATGGCGGCCAAAACTACTTTTTGCTCGTATCTTGTTAGAGAGATACTTACGCTCAGATGTGCTGAAAACGTTACTAAATCATCTTTTCAACAATTTCCTCGGTAATTCATTGTTTCAAAAATCACATTTTGGTCACGTGACCAGCTACGAACTTATTCATTTTAACAAAATGGTGCGGGTTTCAAAAACTAAATCACTATTATTTTGTTTTTAAGACATATGACCCTCTAATCGTTTTTTGAACGCAAAATCATATAACTTTCATTTTCATAAAAGTGATGTCACATGACCTCTTAGTGCAAATGGCCTATTAATTAGCTGTAGGAAAGTTAGCTATAATCTTAGGGGCAACAATATGCTGATCTTACCTAAGCCTAAAACAACCTCATATGGCCTAAAATCGTGGAGTTACTTAGCGGCAAAATTATGGAACGCAATTCCAGATTCTCTAAGGACAAATTCAAACTTTAACGTTTTTGAAAACAACTTAAAAGACATTGACTTTGTTAAGTTTATCTAAAGACAATAGCGACACGATTTCTTTTGCTTATTATATAAATGTATAAACGTAAATGTATAAGCTTGTATTGCTACTAGTATGGATTATTAATGATAAATTTTGTTATTTTATTGTATTTTATTCATTTTTTAAGTGGAATACCTGTGAACTAGCTGGTTTGGATTTCGGAGGGCAATCTAGCGCGATAAATTCTCGCGTGCTGCGTGAGAATTTGATGTTGTGCTAAACTCGGAACAATAGGAAATCCCAGAGCAAAGACACGTCCAAATCTCTGACATCGCTTTAATATTACTCACTTTTGCGCCCACGTTAGACAACTTTAAAAGTTTTCAATCGACACGAAATTCGGGGAATTGATAGTACACTGATCAACTATTTAACTGAAAATATTTTTAAAAAATCTATCGACGATTTTTATTTTAATCGCTGTTTTCGTGAAAGTAGCCTCAGAAGTTACAAAAACAGCTCAGCATTTCGTTTTACCCTGATTCACACGTTTTCATGTGTTTCGGAATCGCGCAGGTGTACTTGCGTTCAGCGACTTGTAGAGTGTATAAGGGTCATTTGCTAAACGAATGAGTCATAAAACCTTTTCGGAAACATCCAAAAAGTAACAAATTTTTCTCCATTAAGTCCAGTCTTCAGTGCATTCATAATTCATACACTTTTTGCAGAAATTCCAAGATATCTCAAAACTCCTCTTATAGATTTTTGATAAACTTCACACAGCAAAAGACAATCATTCAAAGAATATGTGGCGGAAAGCATTTCAAAAGAAAATGCCGAACAGGGCTGAAATTCGATTCACAACTAAAACCATTGTGACGTCATTGTCACGTGACAATCCATGTGTCACCATGTGTGATGTGTCATAATAGTTTTACAATAAAGACCGATTTGTTTAAGTATAAGAGATTCAAAGATGGAGGGTGTTCGTATTAAAATACTGGGTCGAGCCACCTTAAATATTTCTAATTGACAAAACAATACCTCTAAGACTAAGACTGGCTAGAGTAAGCACAGGCAGACCACCCTCTGTTAGTAGGGGCCGTTGTTGATTGAAATCTGAGCAACGATCTTTTGTTATTTATACAAGAAATACATATGAACAATACGGTGGCTATAATTTGTTCCAAAATGCAGAATTTAAAGCACATTTTTCAATCAAAGTTTGAAGAAAATGTTAACTGAGTCATGTGTCATGTTTTTTTCGCCGTCCCGTGCTGTTTTAAGCGCTATATTGCGAGATGAATATTTGACCTCGGTCGTTAGAACTAGAGAAGGAGACAAGGCAGGCAGCAATCAGCCGCCGGCGCGTGACCCAGTCCAATTTAAGCTGGAACTGATGCCAAACTATTTAATTTCTTACCTCTCCTTCTTTAGTTCTAACCGCCGAGGTCAAATATTCATCTCGCAAAATAGCGCTTAACACAGCACGGGACGGCAAAAAAAACAAGACACATGACTCAATTAACATTTTCTTCAAACTTTTATTGAAAAATTTGCTTTAAATTCTGCATTTTGGAACAAATTATAGCCACCGTATTGTTCATATGTAATTCTTCTATAAATAACAAAAGATCGTTGCTCAGATTTCAATCAACAATGGCTCCCACTAACATGGAACATTAAAGATACTGTAGATTGAACAAAACTGTTGTAGACTGACGTTTTACGACACAAAATTGAAACTACTGTAGCAAAATAGCCCAGCTCAATTATATTTTTCTCTTTTGACTGAACTTTAATAAAATTCTATTTCAGTGAAAAACACGTGATTTATTTCTTAGAAATCACGCGATTTTGCGAACCTCTGTCATTTCGTTATCAAGTTTGGATACGCCGTAACGTAAGTCCTCCTCGGGTGATCAACATGAAAATATTTTTTCATGTGTCGAATTTAATAAAGTTTAAAGGATAAAAATATTATCAAGGTTCCTTGGCTAGTTTTATTTTTGTAAAGGAAAACATCAATCAAGAACAATTTTGTCCAGCGCACTAAACATTTGAAATCAGACACTAACGTGGAGTATGTCCAAACCAAGTGTTCTTTGAGTTCCGTGATCGACAAGCTTCCACGACATTTCCAGTCCCGAATTCTACCAATAAAAATTCCACGGACTCTGAAATCGGGATGTTCTTGACTTCTAGGCTGAAGGGGACTTTGCCCTTTAAAAGAGATAGCAGAAAATTTTTACAAAAGAAACATAATCATAACGGGGTGACATAACATTAGTTCACCCCTTGGTCCTACTGAATGCAAAGAATTCGTGAAAAAGGGGCAACCCCAAGGATTTATTAGCTAAAGGGTTTATTTAGGGCGATCCCGCACCTATTTGAAAGATTGTTTTTGATTACCTGGGAAAACAATAGGGATTGTCACATAACAATGCCCCCATCCCTGAAAACAATGGAAGTGTAGATTAAAGGGGACCAGTGAAATAAGAGGTTTACAACGGTGCAGGTCTACTGTTTAATTATGGCTATAAACTGCCCTATATTCGGCTTATAAGTCGAAACAATCTGTTTTGTTATATTCCTAGACTTTCACTCAACTAAACAGGGACTGTCATTGGCTGATTCTTGGTCACATGACCTTGAATAAAATCAAATGTATCCCGATCGTGGTACATTTGAGCAATTGTACCCCGCTCAAGCACGTGATCAAAGCATGGTGGAAAGTGGCGTGACATAAGGCGCGAAAAACACTGCCAGTTTTCACTTTCGGGAATGAAGACAACAAGAGTCCACAACAAGAACACGAATTCTCAAACTAAAAGGCAACGATTTTCAAACCTATCCCAGAGGAGAAACAGCAACTAGTGGAGGAAAAAGACGCAGATTATATAAGGAAAGCACCTTGTAAATCATTTATTCGGTAGTTTTGAGTTCCGAATCGACTGTTTTGATTTGCTCCGGTTATTCGTTTGTTGCTGCTGAAGTGAAAGTCCGGAAAAATAAGAAAACACTTAATGTCACGTCCCTCGGGAAAGCAATCAACGCACGCCCGTGCGTAAATAAGATGACGTGTACATCTGTGTCTATCAAACTCGGATTTTTGTCTTTTTTGCTCACTTTAGTCTCCAATAATCGAAGACAACGATGAAGAACTTTTTGGAAGTTTTGGAATTGAGCTTCTAGCCACTCATACCACAAGCAAAAGTGGTGAAGATGTTTCACAAATTAGAGCCTGAGTCATTTAAAAGTCTGCCGTTATTGAAGACTGGCATTCAGCTGCAAAAAATCTCGCGCCTGTGTCGGGGAATATCCAATTATAAAGTGTCCTCGGGTTTTTAAAGTTTGTTTACCCTTTTGAAAACAAGTTAATTATATAGTATAAACGAAAAATTATGCACTTTTGTCCTAACCGAACAATCCGAAGCGGGGAAAAATCATTTGCAATAAAAAGACAAACTAGACTAAAAAGACATAAATTTACTACTCACAAAAACAACTGCAGCCATGTCCCCTCAAGAAGTACTAATGAACAATGCATGCAAAGCGCCATGCAAACGGACGCAACATTGTTGGCCAACAACTCCCAACATGTTGCGTCCGTTTGCACACCCTGCTGCATGTTGTTGCGAGTTATTTGGAGTTGTTGCGCAAAGTTTGAAACCGGTCAAACTTTAGGCTTCCTGCAAACGGATGAAAGAACTCCCAACATTGTTGGGCAAAAAATGTTGGGAGATTTTGCATCCATTTGCACGTAGCTTAAGAATTCTTTAATTTTCGCAGAACAAAAAGTCTCCTGGATTTCGCCGAGCAAAACATATACATCGTTTCAACGAATCCAAACCATACTCCACGCCTTCTTACGAACATTTGAGTATTTCAACTTTACGAGGTCGGACTTTAAGATGTTTTTACCTTTGTTTCTGCTTAGTTTCTAATGATCGTTTAACGAATAAATAAGCAAATTTTCACTCTCAGTTTTAGAAAAAGAATTTTCTTTCAAACTAGACGATTGTGCGTGTTTGAAACTAACCAATGGAAGAGATTGTTTTTCTGTGCCGCTTGTTGCGAGTATTTTGCATTTAATAAAAAAGCAAGCGTTTTTGCTAGCTATGTTATTAAAGAATTGGTTCATACTTTCAGCTGTGTGTATATCGAGTTATGGATGCACCTGGGAAGTTTGCGGACCACTCAAGAAGCTAGAGTTGATCTCGGCGCTTACGCTTATCTCGTGCTCTCCAAACTTCCCGCATGCATCCATAACTCGATATACTCACGCCAAGTATAAACCAGTTCTTAAATTTCATCTTTAAAAGGCAACAAAAAACGAAAGGCAATTCCACACATGAACCCTTTCTTAACCCTTTCGCTCCTAGAGAAAATGATGGCATCTCGTAAGGTGGCTATAATTGTTGAATCTGTGGACAAAGTCGCCATAGGACTATGGGAAAAAATAAAAAATGCTAATACGCTAAGAGATCTTAAATAATGTCGACAATCAACGACATCAGTCATAACGTACCTCTGTAGGGCCTTCTTTGGGGTTAATGGTCACCGGAGACTCTTCGAAATGTTCTTGGTTTCCTTGGTCTAAGGTTTATATAGTAGGATTAAACGTGAGCAATGCGACATTTGTAAGAATTACAATTGGCCATGTGACTGTTAACAATAAGTCTAATTTATCAAACTTCAAGGGTCAAAACGTCAAGTATGAAAACCAATAACTGTGAGCACCGATTATTTCCCTAGCTGAAGACGGCGAATGAGCAGGGAATCCGAATCCATTAAGAGTGGAAGTTTCCACAACCTCAATTTGTCTGTATTAATGACTAGAAGGAGCAAGGATTGTTTAGATCCTTCACAGCAAAAAAAGATGTCAGGGGTAGTTTTAAAATAATGAAACAGTTAAACCTGTCTGAGGGGTTTCTGAAAGTAACGAACGAAAAAAAATTAACAATTACTGAATGCGGATGAGACTGATGTGAAGAATTATGAAGATCCTCCGCGATCAGCATAATGCTTCATATCATACTCAGCCCCATTTAATAGAGCGTTTTCACATGACATCACGGCGGCCATATTGGTGTTCCAAAACAATACAACGGCGGCCTTGTTGGTGTTCTAATCCAATCCAGTGGGAGTTGTACCTACAAATCGATGGTATATTGCCGACATCTTCCAAATATGGTAAGTGCTGGCAAGATACAAAGAGCTTGCTCGGGGATTGGAGCCAATCAGAAACGGTGAGATATTTTGAATGAAAAGTAATTTCACTTACATCAAATGTTTAAGCTAGCCTGGAACCAGGCTCCTTATTGGGGAAAAAGGGCCAAAAACAGTGCGGCGCCGCTGCCATTTCCCCCTCCCCAGTTCCTCGCTCGCTGATGTTTTGCACCCCCTTTACTATTCACCGTTTTTCCCCACCAAGGAGCCCGGTCACAGGCGAACGTTTCTTAAACTTACCCTCTGTAAAGCAGCCACTCTCTTCACCACTTTCTTGGGTGGCAGTTGTGAGTTGCTGAGAAAAAATTCAAAAATTGAGATACCGAGGTTTTGTTCAACAATGCCCAAAAAACCAATATTTATTGAAAAAAATACAAAAGTAATATAATATGCTTTAGTGAGGCAAAACGAATATTCATTTAAATAGCCAAATCATACGATCAGCCCAAAAGAAAGTTGAAGGGCCTGCCTTATCGGATCCCAACTTGGATAGATACCGTGTTTAAAGAACCTCCTGAGTGGCTAAGGATTGTAATCAGGCCTGGATAGTACTTGAGCACTGATATCACCGGTGAGAATGGATTGTGCATCCACGCTCCCCCTTCCAGATAGAGCGTTTTAACATTAGATTATCACTGGCCTCTAACGAAACTAGAGGCCGCAATAGGAAGCTTAAGCAAATGCGTTTTTGAGCAACGCACATCACCTGGAAATGAGACCTTTACCCTTTCAATATGCCTTGATGCTGCCAAATTTGAATTGCTAAGTTCCTTAACTTTCATAGAGACCATTTGCGCGAAAATGTGGTCAAATGCAAGAATGCAAAAAGTCCACTTCCCGTTGACAAGCGTCATTAGAAAACGTCGTAGCTTATTAGTTCCCTGTTAACTCAACGTTGTAACGGTCGAATGCAAAGAACCCTGAAGGGGAAAGAAATGGTGTCCCAGAAATAAATCACCAATTTCTCGCTTTGGTTAACCCTCTAAGCACAAATAGCAAACTTATCTCTCTAGTGAAAAAGAAATATGATATTTCGGGCTGACTTGCCCCTTTTTAGACCGCCAGTTCCACTAGCCTTTTAAACCTGGAAATTGGATCCACGATCCATGAAAGCCCTCATTGTAAACGGTGAAGAATTCTTTTTGGTACACAGATGAAGTTATGAGTGAGCATTTATTCACCTTTTAACATATCAACTATTTTAATCAAAAAACATTCTTACTGGGTATCGTCAATCACAGACGCCCCCAGTTACTTTGGGATGTAAATCGACACATCTACAAGGGACCCTGTCATGCATAATTTATTCCAGTTTCGCATAAATAGGCTTGTTTTTACCCTGCTTGAATTCGTCTCTTATTTCCAACCCTCCCAAGATGTCAGATCGTTTCCCGATCCCACCCATACCTGTGCAATATCCCCACAGAAGGAGGGAATAGGAACTCTCTTAAGGGCAGCCAGTTTTTCCAGAGTGAGCTGGTCTTTCTCCGTACCTTTCTGTCGACAAAAACACACCAGACGATACGATATTAGCAAGTATAATATATGAGGGATAAATACAGCCAAAAGCAAACCAGACTGAAAATAAGGCTTGCAAGATTCATTTTGACAAATTACACTGGGTGATGGTGATGATGACTGAGGTTTCGACAAATTGTAATTGAAAGTTAAAGTGTATCGTAAGTAAATAGTGTGAAAAAGCTAATTATTGGTATTACCTACAGTATAAGCCCAATGAGATCTTAATGGATCAATTTCGAACATGTATCCCAGTCAATACCTCCTGATCTATGCGTCATAGAAAAAACGGTAAAAACCACCATTTTGAAAATACATCACCGCTAGCCAACCATTTCCTCGTGGGCGCCAAAAACCGTTGGCCGAGCTTCAGGGCGGAAAAACGAAATGAGCAAGCGCGAACTTTTAGCCGGGTAGCAAATTTGAAAACATTGGCGGGCTTTTAAATGTTTTCCCGCAAAACAATTAATGCTTCCCCACCAATCCTCATACAAGTATCTTAATTTTCTACAAATATACTTTGCATTAAACTGGACTTAAACTCCATTAATTTCCACGCGCTGTGCTGCAAAATTGCTAACGACGGTCCGATTTTTTCCCCGGATGCAATCAGAAAATGCGTTCATATAAGGAAGTTACTGGATATATAAGGTCCATAGTCCGCCTGTAGACAGATAAAACAAATATCTTTGTACAGTGATTTGCCCAAAGAAAATAACGCTTATCCACAACACGTTTAATGCATTTTTGTAACCACCAATATCTCGAACTCGCATTGGTGAAGGAAGCCGTATTCCTGGCAAATTTCATCCATGGGATGAGCCCGCGATTAATGATGCGCAGAAACCTGCGCAGAACGTTTTGCCGCCCTGAATGCCAGAGCTGAGCCACGAGGTGCCGAGTCTTCAGTCCTGTTGTTCTGCGGTATATATATTTATATTTTGCGTAACGGAAATGTAACGCAATGACTGTGTGATCGAAAAAAACATTGTGCATTGGTTCTTGATAGAGGTTTAGATGTTCCCACGACCAACTGAACTTCTCTGCCTGTACATTGACCGGGTGGTTAGAATCGAGAAAAGCTTAGACTAAGCCGAGAAAATACAGATTGAAAGCAACTTCAACAAAAAGTGGTGTTTAGTGGCAAAAGTGATGAGGTACCAGTAAATAAGGAATACGTAATGAAGATCAGTACCTGTGCTAAAGCAACTAATCCCAGGGCAATTCTAACTTCCAGCGGAATCCATTTTCCTGGAACTGACTTATTCGATATGCTCTTTATATGGTGCAATAGGTCCTCTGAGAGATTTGATGCCTCAAGAATGGTATCAATAGCATCAGATCCTTTCGTTGTTAAATGCCTTTCAATAACCTTGTAAACGTCTGGTAGATCCTCGCCGTTGGTACACCAGCGAGGAAGATGCACACCATAGAGCCGCCCCTGGTCTTCTTGGTACTCCGCACAAACTGTTGAAAGTTGTGGAATGTCAGTTCTTGTTACAAAAAGAAATGGCTTAAAGAAGGTAATAAGTAACAAACGGAGGTTTCTTGAGAAGTGGCTTAAATAAAGCTCAGTTGTTTGACATAATGCATCTCATTGCCTCTTTCTCTAAAACAAATAGATAAATTATAGACTTCTTTCATTTTCTGTTCAAGAACAGCGTGGACGTTTTAAAGTCATATTGTTTTGAAAAAGAAAACAAATAAACACAGAATTGCAGGCGGGAGCCTTAAATCCCTACCATGATTATAAATTGTGTTTGGAAATTCTCTTGCTTCTGTAAAAAGATGAGGAATAATTATAAAAAAAAAGTTAAATAAGGGATAAACGTTGCAAGCTATAGGTAAACGAGATCACGACTTTGGGGTAATTACATTCCCTCAAATCATGTCATTCACGTTGTTGATTGTTGGCGAGTTCCACCAGAAACACAAATGTATATTTGATCATCACCATACAATAATTAATCAATACCTAGACTAGATTCCTTCCTTTTGTTTCTAGGCAATGGTCCGGTTGTGGAGTATTGCAAGTTATTGAGCGAAAGTTCTCAGAGATCTCTTACTTCCGTTGATGTGTTTATTCCTTAACAGCCAATCAGCTAAAAATCAATCTGGTAACGCGTTTTAATTTGGCCCCAGGTCAAGGCTCTCAATCACTTCGTATCAGACCCAATTTAAGCACCGCTACAACAAATGAATACATCCTATAACTGCATAAAAGAAAACCTTTCACTACTTTACCTGAGAGCATAAAGAAACATGAAAACCCTATTGGAGACGGGCCAAGCGGCCTATAAAAATTAAAGTTTGAACGTGGCAAATCTTTAAAGTGGAGAGAAGAATCATTATTTAAGTCACCATTCTCTGACCCCTCCCCGTGAGAGGAGTCGATGTTATCGGTGTTATGCATTTGCGATGCTGTACTTGCTGGAAATTGGGAATCCATAGTACATGACGTAATAAATCTTGAGCCACACTGTCCCTGGCTGGGATATGAAGGTTTAGCGATCTCAGTTCCACCAAGTCTCGAATCCACTACCCAGAAGAGATAAAAATCATGGAAAATGTGAACTAGCGACTAGCTATATCAAACTTTGCTTTTTACCGTTTTTGATTGACGTACCTCCTTCAGATGCTTCATTTCCCTTTAAATAGAAAAAAGAAAAATACGTCTATTAACTGCGCAGCGAAAACGTCAGAATTCTAACGAAATACAAGAGCTAGTCTTCGAATCTTCAAATAGGAGCTATACTGCATGTCGAAAACGTTTACTGAGCTTTACAAGAACTCAAAGAACAAATCCACCTCCTTTTATACAATAGCTCCAGTTACATGTCATGTAAAATAGAAACCTGAAAAAAAGGACCTTGGCTATGTAACGCAAATAGTTCACTAAATAGTTAACTAAGTTCAGTAAGTAGTGAACTAATGTCGCGCTAATTTTTAACTAACCTTACGAGTCTTTCTGGTTTTCGGGAGTGATTCTGGATAAGTTTCCGTGTTGCTTGCATTCTCTGAAAGAAGAAATAACTTTTAATACGATAGAAAGAGGGCCTATTTAATATATAAAAAATACTTTTCAATATGAAACAAGCAACAAAAATATTGAAATGTAGGTTCGATATGAGCAGTGTCTTTTTGGAAATAATTTTAATTATTATATAGACACAAGTGTTTTACCTGAAAATACACCTCTCGTAAAATTCATAACAACTACATCGGGGACCCTAGTGGTTTATTTCCATAATCACACGTGAGTTTATCGATGACGGAATTTCGGTAATTTCCATCTAATATCTTATCGATGTTTTTTTGTCTATATAATAAAAAGAACACTACACGGAGGCTCGAAGATATGAATTTTATTTTCAGGATAGTAGGCTCACCTAGACAATCATACACCTGTCTAGAAAAGGCATAACCCTAGGGCTTAAACAATTGATAAAGAAACTTTGTCTTCTTACCTTCCATGGATGAGGCACGTCTTTTAGTTACCCGAGTTGACTACAAAAGAAAGCAAAAAAACGTTTTCGTAATAAACCATCATTACTAAGTAATCATGTATTTCTGCAATTAGGAACACACTTTAAATACACTTTTTTGTTAAAAATTATGTAGAGCTAAATATGTGGTCGGTTCCGGCAATTCTACTTTTTACAAAAAGCGTGAATCATAAAAAACGAAAAATGTCTAAAATTCAAGGTCATTATTTGTGTTTTACAATCAAAAGTAAAAAAAAATACTTTTTTGGGCTTTCACTCGCCGTTATGAAAACTATGAGAAAGAGCCTCCTTTTTTTCATAAAAAGCCTGATTCTCTTTGGATTTTTCTTCAATATATAGTGAACCAATTTTCTTGAGTAATATTTATATCTCACTAATCGCACAAAAGCTGGAAAGAGAAATTTCTCGAGTTTTTCTAGCTCTTTGCCTTTCTCTCCAAAGACGAAAGTCGATTTTTTTCACTTCCTCTGTTTGGTGTGTTTGGCGGACAGTTGTCAAATAAAGGCGGGAATCCTAATTTTCGGTTAATTTACAAGTGTTCAAGATGTCGGACCTTTATGTCAAGATTAACCCATTCGCCCCTGGAGATTTTGCCGAAAAACGCGTTTTGAATCTAGTCGAGCGGTTTTCTGGCCATTGCCGTGCTATTAAGAGCTAAAACATACCAGAAAGCCGTTTACAGGTCGTGCACTTTGCGGTCCTCTGATTCAGATGCAAAATATTAGCTTGCGAAGTTCTAGTTGGTGGTGAAGGTCGGTCGTTTAAGTACGGCCTGCGCACTCTGTCCAGGCGAGGAGGGTGAAATTGTTCCCGTCCTCAGGTAGGAAAGAAATATACCAAGCGCTGTAGACTGCACTGCGGGCACCACTGCGCTGAGTTCGCACTCATTCGTTTCCCGTCGACAAACTACGTCTTCTTAGGGTCTTCGGACTGGTAAAAGCCAGTATCTGATGGGAGAATTATCTCCCCTTCTTCGTAGGAAAGGTACGTAGGTCCCCTGGTGTAGATCGAGCCTGAAGATCATGGTCTGATTACCGTTGTTTAGAGTTAAAGACTAGTTTTACCTCCTTCTCGTCCATAATAATCTTGACATAGACGTCCGACATTTTAAAACATTGAACACAAAGTGTGCAACTACATATGAACACTTGTAAATGAACGTAACGATTGCTCAGGATTTCCCGCCATTTGTTGACAGCTGTTAGTGGAGAGGACCGAAATTGGGATTCCTGCCCTTATAGATGACAACTGTCCGCCAAAAACACAAGACAAAGAAGGGAAAAAGTCTAATTTTTCGACTTTCAAGAAAAAACATCGAAGCAGCTTTTGTAGAAAAACAGCTCCCGAGAACGATTTTGGAAGAACAGTTACAAGTGCCCGGAAAATAGGCTGCAAGTAAAATAGATAATGGCGTCATTTCCCCATTATGACAACTCCGATGCTATTGTAAGCCTGATCATAACAATTTTTTCATCTCTATCTAATACAGCTGTGGTGGTAATTCTTCCAAATCTTGGAGACGTAGTTTGTGTTCAAAATTGGGATATCGAGCCACCTTGAAAAGGTAAATTCACTGCACTCTGTCAACTGAAATGAGATGCACCCACAGCCGAAAGTTTTTTCCTAAAATAACCGGATTGCTACTACTTCAAAATACTTCTCCGTTTCTGATTGGCCTTAACCACCCCTATCCCCCTCCAAAAATTAGCTAATTCCTCGCATCAAACTGACGCTCACCTAATTTTGAAGATGCTTGCAATCATTGCAAATTTGACATCAGTAACTGACATCAATGACATCAAACGACGCGAAGGCACGGTAGCATAGCTGGGCACAAAATATGTGCCTGTTGCACGGCAGTTACGATTGACGTCAATCGTATTTATCATTTTGACCGGTGAACACCTTATGAATTTGGACAACGCTAACTAAGAATGAAGAATTATTGAGCATTAAATTAAAGATTTAAGCCAATCGGAAATAGAGAAATATTTTGAATGAATAGTAAATGTTGTTGCAGACTACAGTAAACATGCACACTGATGCCTGGAGGATCAAGAATAAAAGGACATTTGGGTGAAGAACGAGAGCCGGGTAAATTGTATGCGCTTTCATCAATAATATACCCGCTAACTTTTTCTGATTCAAATGAGTGTGATTTTCGTATCCCTATAACCCGAATTTGTGGGGGAAAAAAAGCATCCGAATAGTGCCGAAGACGATACGACGATCTCCGAGCATTATCAGAGATTGTTAGTGTGGCAAATCAAGCAATAACAAGAGATTTTCTAAACTGTGTCAGGGTAGTTTTATTTCTGAAGTTACGTTTTAACATGCACGCAAGCATTGCATTTTCGAAAACTACGGCTTCATCCCAGGTTACTCAAAATATAACCTGTTACTTGCTGAATGCGGCTGAAGCTAATGTCTAAGAAAATCATAATTATCTCCTTGCCGACGACGCATTGTGACTATCAGCTGTTAAGGATTTCTTTAGCTAGAAACAATGTTTAGTATTGAATGCGGTGTGACCTCTCTAAAATCTTGACGTAAACAAAAGCATTTTTATATCGGTCGTCATATGATGGTAGGTCAACTGATGCATGTAAGAACTTGGCTGAGAAAGCTAGGATATAGGGTCTGGTCTAAAAAAAGCCTGGAAACTTGCCCCCCACCATACAAACGTCTGTAAATTTTCGCAAATTTGCTGAGCTATATCTTCGCTCGCTTAAGACGTTTCACCATCAAATTTGGCAATTTGTCTTACTTAAGGCTCTCTTTTATGTGGTGTCGACGGATTTTCCCCAACTGGTCCAAGTCAAAAGTTGAAAAAACTGTGGGAAGGTCTATTGCCATTTCGCTTCGTTTTCATGGCTGGTTTTGCCGTTAAGAGAATTTTGCCGTCTCCTCCCCAAAAATATGATCCATTTTCAGTCTGCGGGTTTGGAAATAGCTTATTATGGTAATATCATAATCACTATCTTGAAATGACGTCACTAGGAAAAATTACAGACCTGCATACAGGGTTCCGAGATTTCTCTGTCACCTTGTCATTAAATTATTACCACTTATGGCAGCAAAGCCACATATTAAATACATGCAGTATAAGTGAAAAAAAAAATTATTTACAACATTTTTTATAATGGTCTAACCTTTTTGATACGCTGAAGCAATTCAGGGTGACCCTTCTTGAAGCAGTTGGATTCATGTCGAAAGTACAAGTACGCTGGGTCAATTTCCAATTGACCTGCTGCTTTCGCTATTTTTTGCTCCTCTTTGAATGCAAAGAAGCCATCTGAAACACAAACATCAGATAAATCGGGCACATCAAGCTAACGAACTGCTTGACTGAACAAACGCAACCAGCTAAATAATGAAAATCGTTTTATCAATCCATTTAACGATCCCAACTTAAGCTGACTTTACTTACAATAATTCAGCTGCCGCACGAAGTTCTGGAAGCTATTTTTCATGGAGTACTTCGTAAGGATTGCCGAACTTAAAAATTTTTGTTGATCACTGCAAATCAGGATCCAATTCCCAGCCTGAAGGAGATAAAAGCGCACAATTTAACAATGGATTGCAAAATTTAGTACTAACAATGATGTTGCATTGTGCTGTAGGAATTCGTTTATGAACCCAGCTATTACAACAACTTAAATAGTGATTCCTCTGAAAGGAATACCTCATTATACGCATAAACAAATGAATTTATAAATAATAAATAAATAAATCATTCCTCTGCGGGACTGTGCTCCTGCGCCCGGCAGTATCTGGCAAATACTTCAGCCTTTTTGGAGACAAGAAAATTGTACAGTGGAACCCGAACAATACGGACGCAAGGCTTCGTGGAATGAGCACGCTACTAATAAGCTCTAAACTAACTGATTTGTATTTCAGTTAGCCTGCGATGAAGCTCTCCTGGGCGCTGTACCGGCGGGGCGGGAAAAGGAAGAAAAGCTTGCCACTACGTCCGTGGAATTTAAATTCCACTTCCAATTCCCCTGTGGCTCCCCGTTTACTGAGCTGTCAGATTTCCGCCAATCAGCGCGAGGCGAGAACGAGGGCGAATGCAAATAAACATTGAAAAACGCATGCCATGGGTAATGACGTCATTACTTATGTCATCTCCGCCCCACATCCAGAGCGCCTCGAAGAGCTTGCACCCGGGAGAGGGGGGTACTCCCCTATAAAAGTGACAGGGGTGCTCGTCGGAAAATTTCGAGAACACCCCTAAAAGGTACCAGAATCTTTTTTATGGGAGTGTTCCAAATTCATTTCTATCCCTAAGAGGTACCAATTCAGCAACAACAAATTATATAACTGGCACAGCAAATTTTAATAGCAGTCAAGATAACTTTCGAACACTTTCCTTTCAAGGACGTTTAGCAAGTATTGTCATAAATCTTTATCCTAATAAAGCGCATCAACCCTGGCAGCAGTCATTTTCCTAAGCGGTACCAATCCACAAATTTCAACCCCCACCCCCCACCCCCCTTCGGGAGCTTGCAGGCAGGCTATATTTCAGTTTTTAAACATTTGTTTACCACCGAAACAAAAATAGAGATTAGGGAGGGTGGAAAATGTCCCTTTTGCCACGAAGTGATAGAGGATTCTATTCAGCTGTTTTGGAAATGCCAAAAAAAAAATGAAATCCTTTTGGGATAATATTTCGCTATATATGGACGCGTCAGATCCTTCAACAAGACAAGTACTTCGACATGAGTACCGCTCTAGGCAAACAACTCCCACTTTAATCTCACCATAAACTTTCCCTGCCTTATAGTAAAGAACTTTATCTGGACATGCAGAGCGAAAGTATGGTGCCCAAGTCAGAATAATTTCTTACATCATTTGAGTCGTAGACATAAGGAAGAAAAGAATACACCAAGCAGTAAAAAAATAGGAACCATTTATTGCTGCTTTGAATCTTGTCTCTCAACGCCAGAAATACAGCTAAGTTTACTTAATATAAATATGCGCGCTTTCTATTATCAACACGTCGTCGTCTTCTTTTCACCACAAAGAATTCAGTCTGATGATACGTACAATAATTTTGTTAATGTAAATAGCATCAATCTATAATTAAGTAGCACCGTAAGTAAGTGGACCTTTAATTAAGTAGTTCTGTAACTAACTGCAACTAACTGGCACTGTTCCGTTTTAGCACTGTATTTTCCCCCTTTCTTTATTTATTTTTTGTTTCTCTTTTTATTTCTTTTTTGCTTGGTTACTGCATTTTTGTGTGAGTAAATTGAATAAAAAAAAACAAAACTAAAATTAGCACACATTGTGACGATGAAAACAAAAGGTGCAGGACGACCTACATTTGAGGCTTTTCGGTTACCTTGCCTCGCGGTGGAGAACGCAAAAGCTGTTAAATTTTGTGCTGACTTATTCCCTGCCCACAAATGTCCTTCTGTAAAGTTTAAAAAACAGCCGACTAGAACTGGAAGTCTCCGTTTCCTGTTTTTAGCGCAGCTATTGTATGGAATATGTGTGAAAATCTTTATTATAAATCGGTTTAGTATATACACACTCAGTGATCTTGGTAATTAAAGCAACCTGATTGGTTAGCTATCTCGGACTATGACGTTATATTCACCGCGCTAGGCGGTGAATATAAAGCCGAACAAAATCGCTGTCGTGAACTGGGTGTTTTGCCAAAGTTTCAAAGTAAAACCTTTTTGAAAATACACGAATATCCAAGTGCTGATGACTTTGAAGGCAAGAAAAGACTTCATGGTGTTTAAACAGCGTGATTTATTGTGAAGTGGTTTACTTTTTCTGACTTTTTGTACGCTCGAAGCTATGTTTACCACTACAGAGGAAAACGAGGTCGCTTTGTCACCGTTTTGTGATTTCGGGATTTTCTCGCAAGACCAATTTTGCCTATAAATAGAAGTTAATTTATGGAGAAGAGAGGAAGGCAAATATTTTCGAAAATTTTACGTGCCAGCAAGTTAACAAGGCAAAGAAGTTTGGAGATAAACAACGCTCACCTTGATCGCAGCCGCTGTTGACAGCATTTGCAAGAAGCGACGAAGAAAACTTTCTCATTCACGGTGAGTTGACAGAAACAAATAAAGCTCTAGATACTTTTCTTCACAGAATTGGGTAGTAATTTAAATTTTCGGCGTTTTCTTTTAAACCGTTGATTCTAAAGCTTACAAAACTCGATACAAAAGGATTAAAACTATCATTTGCCATGTTTGAAGATACCGTAAAGATCTAACTTTTGCGCATCCACTGATTACGGCTTCGTGTTCACGCGTGAATTTTCACCCGTCAATCAAACTAATCGTTTTTTAATGGTTTCCTTTCTGATTCTGTTGAGATCACTTCGTGTGAATATACTAAAACAATTATTCACCTCAGGCTCAGTTAATATTGTTGAATAATCCCCTCGACTTCGTCTCGGGGATTATTCAACAATATTAACTTCGCCTTCGGCGAATAATTGTTAAATATTTCAAAGAGCTACACAACTACCAAGAATACTATTATGTAAAGTAAAAAAAAAAAAAAATGTAATATCACCATAAGCTAAATAAAGGATAAAGTACAAAAAAGGTCAAAAAGGCTTGACGCACGTACAAATTAGTTGTTGTTTTGCTAGTCTAAACCTATTAACATTTTTGTTCTAACCACGTCTGTTTTAGAATGACAATTTGAATTTTGATGTTAAGTTTTAAAGGGTTAAAGGGTTTTCGCAAAGTTTCTTCCGACAACGTGTTTTGAAATACTGTAGCGGTATGTATGTATAGACATGTATATTATCACCAATGCGTGACATTCTCGGAAACACAGGAAGTCATTGATGTATTAAGCCGGCAAAAGCAGCTGGACTTGATATCATGAGTCATTGAATTTCACGAACTACAGTCGTTCTCTAGACGGTTCGAGTTATCGGGAGTTCGAATTATCAGCTGCTCGAAGCAAATAATCGGGAATAAGGAAATGAGAAAATTGGATGGGGAGGAAATGCAAGTATCATACACACTTCACTTCAAATGCAAGGAATTAATTAGCAAAGCGTGATTAATATAATATGCAGGGATAAACACTGAATTTGACCTGGCCTGACAAAAAAATAAAGGCAAGCAATGCACGGTTGTTTTGAAATACATCCAATGTTTCAGACGTCTGTCAACAACAATGCTACTCAAGCCTACAATTTTTTTCCGACTTGTCACGCGCTTGAAACATGTTTCGAGTTAACGAAGGTAAAGTTATATAGAAATTATCTGAGGTAAAACAAAAATTACTTCGATTTAGCAGGAGGGTCGACTTACCGAGGGTAAAATTACAGTAAATATATGAAGGAAATCAAGGGGAAATCGATTTTCGTTCGAGTTAGGGCGAGGATCGAGTTAGCGAGGGTTCCAGGCTCGAGTTAGCGAGTCCAAAAAAACGAATCGAAAGACTGGCTTTGCAGCTGACCAATTGCAGTTTCTTGGGCATAGTGCCGTTCTACACTTGAAAAAATCCGTGTGTAGTCCATGCGTGACTCACAATTTCGTTTTACACAGGATAAATACCCGGCCATCTAAAACTCAGAAAGCCTTCCCATACGATCCAGAATGACTGGATCTGATTCCCAAACGATAAAAAATAGAGTGGGTTAATTTTGAAATACTTATTTTTGCAACCGCGAGCAGCCTCGAGCGTCCAATAGAAATCAGTTGAAGCCATATGAGCGTTGAGTTTGTTTTTAATTCTCTTCTTTGATCTGAGAGGTTTTTCTCCGGTTTTCGCCTCTCATCAAAAACCAACACTTCCAAACTCCAATCGATCTGGAACGCACAAACACGTTTAACGAGTTCGCAAGAACTCCTGAGTGTTCCGAGGGTAAACAAACTACAATTTACAATTCACAATCAGTCACCGATCTGGACACGGCTCGATTTTTTGGCGACGTGAACTTTGAGAAAAGCCGTCCTCAATTTTGTAAAATATATTCGAATTCTACTGAAAGCATTCTCGATCCTTGTTCAGAATTGGTAAGTGTGTAGAATACATACAATAAGTAGAGTACCTTAGGTATCACCTGATTTAAGCAGTCCATGTTCCGGTCAGAATCTCGACTATAAAAGGAAAGGCGGACTGCAAGCAGTGTAATATCTAAGCTGTACTGTAGCATGAATCCGAGCCAAAAGTGCTGAAGTATATTCCAGAAGTATCAAACACTGAGTTAAACACTCATAGCAAGGTTTTGAACCAAAACAATTATTACCTTACTCCACTTAATAAAATCATCAGCTTCATTTTCCACCATCTTGTACAATTTGTTGGGGAAAAGGCCTCCTCTCTCTGTAATTCGCAACGCCATTCTGTCGTTAATAACAAATCACCCATCTAAAACGTTAAAAAACGGATATGGCCAGAGACAGTCAGCTATCGTTCTTTTATTCATGTCTGATTCTAGAATTCAACCCGGAAAAATATTTATGAGCATGCGCGAACTTTTTTTTGCCCACGTCCCCGCGCATGGTTTGAAATATTTAAATATTTTTTTGATGTAAAAATAAAATGTTGTCATGCAAAACCTGGAAAGAACAAACGCTTTGTTTTTAAAAGTTCCAGGCTGAAGAACAGTTTTAGTTACATCTAGGTATTGACTCGAAGACAACCAAGATTATACGGCAGTATACAGAGGTCCAATTACAACGCGACTTAATTGATCAATCAGGTCAATAACCAGAGTTAAATACTATCAACTGACGACTGCAACAATCTTAGCCCGCGAGCAAGCTCTCCCGGGAGGCTACAACTATGATTGCAACGTACCTTCTTCAAGAGATGAAGCGGATGACCGAGAACATTAATACCTTATGCAATCCGGTCGTTTCTGAGTCGCCCCTCGGTGAACAGTAGCAAAATAGTGACAAAACATGATTCACTATTGAGTCTCAACGACTTTGGATCATTAAACAAGGGTTAAATAAACAGACTGAATAACTTTAAAAAGACTTAGTACAGTCGTCGCGTTAAGCATCTGTTTCCATTCTGAGCTTGTATAAACAATAGTTCTTTTGAATAAAATTGGTGAATTCAATCTGCTTCTTGTTTGCTGTGTTGTTCAATTCAATTTACAAGTTCATGATTCCGTGGCGATTTCCTCTGTTGATAGACTTTATAAAAGTACTTTATTTTTTATGGTTGGCTATGCCATTTTAAAAGACTTTTCACGCCAGTTTCGCGCGAAATTCACCAGTCGAAAATTCAACCCTTGACGTCATGACAATTGACCAATAGGAGAGTGACGACGCTCCCGACACAGAATATGTCAATCACTTTTTCCCGCGTGAATTTATGATATGATTCAAATCCATTCAGGCGAAACAAGTCGACCTGGAGACTTCGTCGCTCGCTCGGTCACTGCGCGACCGCATGCATTGAAGCCCGCTTCGTTCACTTTTAAGAACTTACGAAAGGTTGACTTGTAGCAAGTCTACTCTGTTGATACTGGAACTAAAAGGGCTATCTTATGCACGCACACAAGACGCACACATCTACTACTCAGTTATTATAAAAGCGGTTCTCAGCATCAATCACATCTCTAAGGTAAACATAAATCGTCGCCCGCACTTACAAATATACTCCACTTGCACATCTCCCATAATGCACCTTATTTGCCCACCAAAATTTTGCATAAGCATTGTTTTCAATTTCTCTTGGGACGGCTGTAATACCTAGGAGATATGAAAAACAAAGGTTATGCAAAATTTAGGGGGGGCAAACAAGGTGCATTATGGGGAATGCGAAAGTGGCGTATACCGCAATTTCACTACAGCTTGAGTTCTAAAAGTATCTTACTCCAGCAATGCGAGCATTCTAATGGTCATAACTTGGACAACAGACGTTAATTTGCGGTGACAAGGGGTTTGGTTTTCAGTTGTAAGGTAACACTGAAATAATAATAATAATAATAATAATAATAATAATAATAAGAAGAAGAAGAAGAAGAAGAAAGTGATGGTATCCAGCGTAGCAAAATGAAAGAGAAGTTAAGAAAAGAATATAATAGGAGAGTAAGATTAATCCTAAGAACTGAGCTCAATGGAATAAACAAAATAGAAGCTATCAATAGTCTTGCAGTCCCAGTTGTGCAATATAGCTTTGGCATCATTGACTGGAAAATCTCAGAACTGAAGAAGATTGACACAAAAACACGCAAACTACTGAACATACATAAGATGTTACATCCTAAAGCAGATGTGGAAAGGCTGTACATCCCAAGAAAAGATGGAGGTAGGGGCCTGATTGATGTAGAAACAGCATTCAAAACTGCAACAATAGGGCTTGACCACTATCTGAAGCACAAGGAAGGGCAATATCCAAAGCAGGTGCTTGAACATGAAAGATCTAAAGCCAAAAATTCAATATCCAAGAATGCTACTAAATTCAAAAGGGAAGTAACAATGCCAGAGATTGAGTACAGAGAAGATAAATCTGCCTCTGAAAATGCTAAAGCCCTGAAACACGTGTTTAAGTCCAGGATGAAGTCAATGAAAGAAGAAAAGTGGAAAAACAAAGCATTGCATGGCCAGTATCCAAAGATCCTAGAGAAGCCTCATGTAGACTCAGTCACCACCAACAAATGGTTGTCAAGTAATTTGAAAGGAGAAACAGAGCGATTACTTGTAGCAGCTCAAGACCAGGCAATAAACACCAGAAACTACCAGAAAGTAATATGTGGCCAGCAAGTGGAGAGCAAATGCAGATTGTGTTCGCAACATGAAGAGACAGTGGACCATATTGTATCTGGATGTGAGGTATTAGCCAAAACAGAGTACATCTCCAGGCACAATAATGCTGCAGCATATCTCCATTGGAGCATATGTAAAGATCATGATATAGAGATTACAGACAAATGGTACGAACACGAACCAGAGACCGTGATACACAATAAAGATAACAACATCACCATCATGTGGGACATGCCAGTCAAAACTGATAGAACTATAACAGCGAACAGGCCAGATATCATCGTTAAAGATTCAGTGAATTCCACCTGCAAACTTATTGATATGACTGTTCCATCAGATAGAAACATCGCACTGAAGGAAACTGAAAAAAAATGCAAGTACAAAGACCTAGAACTAGAAATACAGAGAATGTGGCATATGAAAACCGTAGTGATCCCTGTGGTTGTTGGTGCGCTTGGTACAGTGAAGAAGGGTATGGTAGAAAACATCAAGAAAGTATCAGAGAGAGCTACTATGACAGAGATTCAAAGGATCTGCATGCTGGGATCTGCGCGAATCCTCAGAAAGGTGCTCAGTGTATGAACAGAATCATTGACTTGAGTGACTGACGCTCTAGGTGCATGGTTTGTGCCCGGCTGATGCACAACAAGAACACCAGCAAAGACTGTGTTAAAAGAGATAATAATAATAATTAATAATAATAATAATAATAATAATAATAATAATAATAATAATAATAATAGAAGTAGAAGTAGAAGTAGAAGTATAGTAGTAGTAGAAACAGCATGAATCCTCTAATGGGTTCTCAAGTACTAAGGTAGCAGAATGTGACCGGAAACTTATTAACAGTTGAATATTGAGAGTATATATGTTGTGGTTCAATTTTTTCCTTGGTTTAAATTTTGTTTTCCTTTGTTTAAAACTCATTATCATACACTAACATACCCCAAAACAAAGGAAAACAAAATTTAAACCACGGAAAAAACTGAACCACAACATATATATAATAATAATAACTAATAAAGAGGGTTGTCTAACTCGGTTTCCAGGAGGGCCCTCAATTTATAAACTAATTAAATTATCTAATTTGCTAGAAAAGGTAATTTTATATTTTGAGTAGACATCTCAAGATAAATGGTATAAAAACTGGGATGCATAGAAAATTAAACCAAGCAACCAAATGAAAAATAAATGTACAAAAATCACAAAATGTTGCCAAATTGTTCCAAAAATTATTCATCAAGGTACAACATGCATATACTAGTTTTGTGGGACACCAAAAAAAGATAAACAAATATATTTATTATTATTTTTTTTAAAATATGGAAAAAAAAACAGCAGCTGATTGCTCTCCATAATGTGCATCTTGCGCAGCTTTACAAGTGTTTAAGGGATATTCCAATCATAGTTTGTAAAGACGACCAATTATGAAAGCTGGCAAACTCAGAGTTGAAAACAACAGGCTGGCTGGCGGGCAAATACTGTGAGAAACAATCCAAAGGTACTTTCGGGAGTACAAAATGTGTGTTACATTGCCAGCCATGGTAAATATTGGTCACTATAAAACGCGGACATGGACTGCGGACTGGGTATAAAATACGGACTGGGTATAAAATACAGACTACGGACTACTTTAGTAAAAACAGTGCTAATTGGTTCCAGGTAAGGAAAAATAAGATCAAAAGTCTTACTAAATAGCAAGACTTGGAGATTAAGTAATAGATAAAATTATAAGGTGGAGGTGTGCCACCGGGATCTCTGAATCATGAGCCTGACCAAAATGCTATTTTCTACACCCATTTTTAGACCTGGTCATGGTCTCTAACCATCATGAAAGGGGTCAGGACCCGGGGGGGAGGGTACTCCCTTATATAAGCCATATACAGTAGGTATGTGCTGCCCCAAAGGGTAGATAGATGGTTAGACAGGTAGTTTATTGATAAAAAAAACACAGCAGCTGTAGGCTGAATTACATAATTTATGATCCACAATAAAATGAAAGCTAAAAATCATTAATTTCAAATGTAACAAGATAAAATACATGTCGGACTATTTACATCATTGCCTTATTGGCATAGTAATTGATAAAACTATTGCATGACTTGTGCAGATGGTGTTGTAGAGTTTTTGGGCCTTTTTGGTCTGGTCTCTGTTTTTGCCCATTTTGGACTAGAATCAAGGATGGTTTTCGAGGGAACTACAGAAGGATACATACGTGAATGTCTTTATCATTTCAATTCCAAATGAATAAGAACGAAATAAAAATATGCAAATTTGAAATGCTTTTGAAGAATTTTTTTGTTGTGCTTTAATCTGGTAATGATAACATGATAATTTCTGCCTAATTTAAATTAGGTAAAGGCCTGTTCCAGGCTCTGAGATAGTTGGGTCTGCTAAATTGAGAAAGTGCGAACGTGACAATAAAACAGGAGGAAACTTGTGCAACTCCCCCACAATCTGAGAGTCTTCACGTTGAACAGGCAAAATTAGGCCAGGCCTGAAAATGGGTACAGATTCTAGAGATCTGGTCTGAAAACGGGTGTGGAAAATGCCATTTTTTGGTCTGAAATAGTATCAGGATTTGGAGAACCAGGTGGCACACCCCAAACAAGAATTCCCAGGAGTAACCCCTCTGGAGGGTCAGGACCAGGGTGTAAATCATGTCGCCATAAACATTGCTTAAAAAAATATAACGTTGGTTA